AATGAGGTCTCGACAAACTCAGAATGGATTCAGCATCGATAATGTAATCCAAACTGGAGTCGATAATCCAGGTAAAACCCTCATTGCTGATTTTTTTTTCGATTTTTTCTGATGTACGTCTATTCTCTTTATTTTAATGTGTACACACTTAATGCTTTTCTTAGGCCATCCATTCATCATGACTGTCGGATGTGTAGCGGGAGATGAAGAGTCTTATGAGACGTTCGCTGAATTATTTGATCCAGTGATTCAAGCCAGACATAACGGATACAGGAAAACAGATAAACATAAGACTGATCTTAATTCGGAAAATTTGAAGGTAGCATATCGGACTGAAAATTAAAATGTTAAATCACAATTTATCTAATTAGTTGTGTCTGTTAGTAGAATAATTAGCGTAAATTTTAAACTACTACTGCAGTGTGCTTTCAATATGCTACTTTTAGGGAGGAGATTGCCTGGATGAAAAATACGTTCTTTCATCTCGTGTACGAACTGGAAGAAGTATCAGAGGTTTGTGTCTTCCACCCCATTGCAGTCGTGCAGAAAGAAGAAAAGTGGAAGATATATCTTGTAAAGGTAATATCTATGTCCTACTGTGAATAAAATTTGCAAATTTACAGTCAGGGAAAGAAATGTTTACATAATTTTAGCTCTTGGAAAACTCGATGGTGAACTGAACGGGAAATATTATCCTCTTGCAAAGATGACAGATGAAGAACAAGAGCAATTGATAAACGATCATTTTCTTTTTGATAAACCTGTTTCACCATTGTTACTGTCCGCTGGAATGGCACGCGACTGGCCCGATGCAAGAGGAATATGGTAAACAGATAGTTGACTTTTTTAAAAGCTCAAAAGTGAAATAAATTTATCCTAAAAAAATATTCATAAAACTCAGGCACAACGACAAGAAGAACTTTCTTGTTTGGGTAAATGAGGAAGATCATCTCAGAGTTATTTCAATGCAAAAAGGTGGAAACATGAAAGAAGTCTTTACCCGATGGTGTCAAGGACTAGGAAATGTGAGTTATCTTACGCTAATTATTATGTACTGCATATGAATTGTTCATTTATAAATGTTCTTATTTTAAGATTGAAAAGCATATGAAAGATCTTGGACATGAGTACATGTGGAATGAACATCTTGGTTACATTCTTACTTGTCCAAGTAATCTGGGCACAGGAGTTCGTGCTGGTGTTCATCTGAAGATTCCACTGTTTTCTCAACAACCAAAGTTCGATGAAATTCTTAAAAAACTTCGTTTGCAAAAACGTGGAACGGGCGGCGTTGACACAGCAGCTGAAGGTGGTACCTTCGATATTTCAAATGCTGATCGTCTCGGTTTCTCCGAAGTGGAACTTGTACAGATGGTTGTGGATGGAGTCGAATTTATGATCGAATGTGAAAAGAAGTTGGAAGAAGGTCAAAGTATTGAAGAGGATATTCAGCAACTTCAACAGAAATAATCTCAATTGACATAAAATTGTATTCTGTAATAGTAATAATTGGTGATATCTTATAGTAAAACCGTGTAGTTATGATGCTCTTATAGTTCACATTCACTACATTTTATTATATGGCATAATAACATATAATCTTCGGTAATTGTGTGACATTTTTTAAAATTGTTGTATGAACACTGAACAGTAATAATAAGATGCAAGATAATACACTAAATTTGAATATTTGCAGTGGATGTATTGGAAACATAGTGGAAGATTCACATTTAAATCTGTTTCTATGAATATAAATTTATAGCACCGAGGAAAATGAGTCATTATGCAACTACTCAGATATAACAAACCCCGATTCAATGTAAGGAATGAGTTGTGTTTACGCAAAAACATAAACAACGAATACATAATCAAAGAAAATTAGAATCTTGTTACATATCGCTTACTATTACATAAATGACTAATTTTTTTGTGCTTACACACGTTTAGACCCACAGACAATGTTATCAATAATTCGAAAACAGCCAAATTTTGAATTAAATAACGGTTCCGTACGACTTAAAAAGGGATCCATCAAGGTCCACTTTATGTCTAGCAATTTAGGAGACCATAAAGTAGGAGATATGTGTCAGAGATATAGCCCGTACAAACAGTATTTAGAATCAATTAATGAAGTTTTTTATGTACTTTGCATAAACAACCATAGATTTTTATATGGACTGGTTCCGAATACAATAATGTGACGGACACTCTCAAATATAGAAATACATTGAATTATTGTAAGAAATTTAAACTTCATTATACTTTTAAAAAACATCAAGAGCTGGCAGTTACAAAATATTGGAACAAAATGTCGGAAATAAAATATTTTTTCACAGTGGTAGAACAATAAACACACTTTTTCAAACTTGCATGTGCTAGAAAATAGGTTGATTTTCATTGACGTTTCAAATCAAGGTCATCTTTCAGAAACGCGGTTACGAACCAATTTGCTATCGCGGGCCATTTTATCAGTCACCGCTAAGTAAGCAGGCCGCACACCTTTCCAGTCATCCTATTTGACCTGTTAATTTTCATCAACAGAAACGAACAGTTAACGAAATTACCAAAACCCATTCATCCATACAGCTGGAGTTATTTAATGATATATTGCAGCATAGAATAAAAATAAATAACAAAGAAACAGTCTATAAATTTTTTTCGTAGTAAAATTTTAAGAAACATTTTGCTTTACTAAACAATAAATAATAGATCGAACTGACGATTTGGAAACTCTCGAATGCATACTAAGATTTTCGTTCTCAGTCTTGACCTGTATCGAGTAAATTCTACGTCTCATTCTCAAAGTTTGTGTGCTGTCACAACCAATGGACAAAAATTTGTGTAGAGGTTTGCTACTGGGAAATTGTGTGGCTCCATATCAGAAAATGGAACCGTTCTTATACAATAGCTGTATTCAGTCTAATAATTCCATAAACAACGAAATTTTTGTTTGTTTACAAATTGCATAGTACATGTATGAGTAACTCCTTATGGACCTTTCCCCGACCTTTGACCCCCGGAAAATTCTTCCTATACTTTACCATTGCAGAATTTTCAGGGCTATTTTAGGAGTGCTTTTGCGAGTTGGCGCCTGTAAAATGGGGTATGTGTTTCAAACCATCATTAGGATTCATCGCACACAACAATCTGTTTTTTAAAAGTACCGGTAAAGAATTTCAGGCTAGTCTATCACAGCTATTTCTACACTAATTTTTATTACTGCAATTAAATTAAAACTCCTAAGAAGACAGAGTGATCATTGAATTATCTGATTTTTATTCAAGTTTCCGAAACACAACTGAAAACTAACGAATAGAGTTCAAAAATGCGAAAACGAGGTAATGTTTACAACCACGCTTGAAAATCTGTCTGAGTGAGAAAAGTGTCTGAGCGGATGCGAAAAGGGGGCATTGTTACGTCACTTTTTGCAATTTGCTGATTGGCCAACGTCACGGAATAAACAAGGAAGTCGATGCTCGGGGAAAGGTCCATTCAAAGCCTTGTTCAAAGAGAAATTCCGCATAAAATAGCGGGGCTAAATATCCCCGAATCTTTAACGAATAACCACGGCAAAAATAAAATCTCAAACTACGGTGACATAATATCACCAGTACGAGTCTCAGCAAATTCGAGTACCAAGTCAAGTCGAATCACTGCCATTAATTTTTACAAGTCGAGTCCGACTTTTCATTATAGCAGTGGTGGTTCTCAAACGGCGGGGCGCGCCCCTGAAGAGGGGTGGGGTCGTAGACAATTTTCTGAGGGGGCGTGAAGCTAATTAAAAATAAAAATACTTGTTAGATTTGATCTTGCCCGTCGCAACTGTTTTGAACGGCTGTTTAGAATAAAATGAGACTGCCGGTAGCGAAGAAAAAAAATTGGCATTTTATAACTACCGTAACTAGGTTAGATTGTATACTGTTGATTTAGTACTCACACAATCAATTAATATGATGATATATTGGGTCTACTATAGTTTAGTACCACAAGTACTTCCAGTGGGCATAGCACAACGATTTTTGCATATGGTATTCCTAACCCTCACCTGACTATGCCATCCAAAAATTACCGTACGTCACTACGACGTCACCATTGTCAAAGTATAATTACGATCGCCCGAAATGGCATCTGCGCCGCCGATAACGAACTTGCTAAAGCCGGCGATCTCTCTCCTATCGTGATCGTTGCGCAAGAAAACGAGGGAAATAGCTTGCTCGATTTCGGGTGACCGTCTACGTGTTTTGGACGACCATCCGCATACTTCGCTGGGCCTTATTACGCCAATGTAACGTCGGAATGACGTAATTTTTCGGTGACGTAGTCAGGTTGGGGTTAGGATTGACATATGCAAAAATTGTTGAGCCAGGCCAACAAGAAGTGGATGTGGTACTGAACTATACCAGACCCGATATATTTAGCATGCTTCTGTGCTTAGATAAAAATGATAAGTTGAGACGGTACCGTACGGTACCGGTATGCCTTCCGGTACGTTTTCTTGTCACTTTGTTATCCCTTGCACAGTATTCTAACCAAACACATTTAATTTAATATATTTATCCTGACTATTTAAGTTGTAAGTGAAACAGCCACCGTTCCATCTCCCATTACAAAAAGAGTCTTCGTACAATTGCAGGCATACCCGTTAACCGCCGTCGCATGGCAAGTGGTCCTACTGGTCCATGGCGAGTTAGCCACCGCTCTTCAGTAAGTAGTAAAACCGCCTATGCTGTTTTATAGTGATTTCAGTAAATATTGCGTATATATTTCGTGTTTGTATGCAACAAAAAATAGAATGCTTGACTTCATTTTTCTGAACTTATTGATGCTGTTTTTACAGCAGAGCTCAAAAAGGTGGTGAAACTACTATTATTGTGTTATTACTTGTGGCAGTTAGTTGAAACATAGCTATTATTAAAAACATGTTCGTTCATGTGTTCAAAATGATTGAAGTTATTTGTGTCTTTTACGTTCCGTATTTTAAAATCTATAGTAAAGTTATACATGTTTCAGAATCTAAATGAGAAACTATTTATCCCTATATCATAGATATTAAAATAGTAGGTTGAATCCGTCAGGCATGTGGAATGGGTCATCCATAACTGACACTAGAAAACTCGTGTATCAAAAAGTTGAAGTGGAAAGAAGTGATGGGAAATTACATGTTGGATGGATATACACAATAGACCCTTTATCGAACAATATTGTATTATATTGCGAGGACTCGTCAAACCCTCAATTAACTACAGTTTTTAGCCATTGTATTAAAAAAGTAAAAGTACTTGCAAAGCCAGATAAAGGAATTATCGACGTCCTGAATAACTTGTGCAAACAAACTGGGCAAATACCATATTCTGAAGAAGATTTGTTAGAGAGGCAAAGAAGATTGAAAGAATGGCTTGAAAGCAATCGTTTACCAGTTACCGTTAATGGCGCAAAACTGAGTATTGCAGGTGTTCTGGATATTTTGCCACCATATACACAACAATCATGTCAATCAAGAAACGAGATTATTTTGTCAAGAGTACAATCAATAATCAAAATGATGCCAGTTGGAAATGATTGACAAAGAATTGCCAGTTACATAGTTGTTATCCTGAATACACATGTTTATAGCCAGCTATCAAGTCATATCGGTTCTTTTCCAATAATTATGTAAAGAATTTGCCTATGGATTATTAACATTTATTTCCTCAGCAAGCTTTTTTTATCTAAAACATACCAATATCATTCATTATCTGCTAGCTACCATTTATACTTAGCGTGATAATTTGTGGCACTTAAAATTAATGCAACTATGTATAATTCAGATTGGAATCGTAATCATATAGGACTTAGTCATGAATCGTTCAGAACCCGCAACAGAGTCTGGTGGTCGCGTCAAAGGTGCATGCATTGTGAAACCCATTGTATATGGAAACCTAGCTCGATATTTTGGAAAAAAAAGAGAAGAGGATGGACACACACATACTTGGACAGTTTATGTTAAACCATATAAAAATGAAGACATGTCAGTATATGTCAAAAAAATTCAATTCAAACTACACGAAAGTTATGCAAATCCATTGAGAGTTGTAACAAAACCACCATATGAGATAACGGAGACTGGATGGGGTGAGTTTGAAGTCGTTATCAAGATATTTTTTCATGATCAAGTAGAGAGAGCAATCACATTATATCATCCCATAAAACTGTTTCAAAATGAAACTAATATTATGCTTGGTAAAAAAACTGTTGTATCAGAATGGTATGATGAAATGATATTTCAAGATCCAACTGCCATGATGCATTCTTTACTCACAAGTACAAGACAATTGACTTTGGGTGCACATAAACATGAAACTGATTTTGAGGAAAAAGAGAAGGAAACTATAGAGAAGTTACATTCTGCCAAAACACAAGTGCAAAATGAAATCCGAGAATATAAAGAAAGATTGAAGGCAATTCGAGAAAATATTGACAATTTTAAAGAGGAAATACGAAAGCTTGAAAGCGCTGATGCCCCACAAGGTTGACTTGAAGTTATGAAAAATCATTAGGAGATTTCCCTGTATTTTTTGAAAATCAGGGTTAGAGAATAGCTTTTGCAATCGTCTACTAAATAGCATCTCTACTGGTTGCTCATTAATTCACGTCCTCCTGTTATATGAATATGAGCCAACCTAGTTACCATGAACATAGCAGTTGCAAGTACGCAAGTTAATAGACATTTTTACAAATCATGACCCCAAACTTTAGTTATGTGGAATTGAATTCTCCACCTTATAGCTAGCTGTTTTTTGATCGTATTTATATGAACTGCTTGAAGTCTTAAGTCAATCGATATTCCCTAAAGCGCAATCCCACACTATATTTTTTTAGTGTTAGTATTTCTTTGTCATCTTTGTTGTCACCCATAGCTTCACTCAGGGTTCATTCTTCTCGATTTCTGAACGAGTTCTTGTGATCTATCTTAGAGAAAATATTCTCGGGAATACAATAAAAAAACTAGCTGAAAGTGCAATCATAGTTTCAATGCATGCATAAGAAGTCTACCATTGCTACTTTATGGCTACAAGTGTGTGGCATATGCTAACAAGCGCTTGCTCGTGGTAGTAATTTGTATTTATTATACATTTATTGAGGCAGATAAACATACATTAAAAGTGATACATCAAATTTATGCATAGTAAATAGCATCATAAGAATAATCATCACTCCTAGGCATCAGCGGTTAAACTAAAATGCATTAGCAATTGCAATGAATATATCTCGTGAAGGATGAACAGCAGACTAGCGGTATCATCAAAATTGCGATACATAGTAAATAAATGTACCATGCACACTCGTGCTAAATGACTATTAATTAATTGCATATTTTTGTCTACATCATGAACCATGTCATTTGCGACTCTGGCTGCAATTTATAGCTTAAAACAATTCCGAACTTACTCTTTAAAATCTCAGGTATTTCAGTCTTGTGATATTTTTGAATTTCAACAACTCTCACTGTCATTGGGTCTACATACCTTTTTTCTACAAGCGTGTCCCCAACAAGAAAAACTCTACGTTCTCTATCTTGAAGGACTACTGTCGAGTTTTTAGTACACCATGGATGAGAAGTTTTGGCATATTCACTTGCATGGTGAAAGTCATTAAAACTCTTTGGCTCTGTTCGAAATACAAACATCAATTCCCAATCTCTGCTAGTTTGGTATTTACTAATTGGCTGATTTAGATTATTACGTGTGGATGGAACCTTCTGCCCATCTTTACTTAGCTGTACTTGCCGCTTCTTTTCAACAGCATGAATTCCTTCACGTTTTGTAATCATATAAACACCATTTGGTTGACTTTGTTCCTGTGCTAGTTTTTTCATTTCCAATGGAAATACAAAACTCAAACCACCATATCCCACATCCACCAACCATATGTCATCTGTATCAAATTTTACAAGCAGTACCATATGGTTAACAAATTTCTCAACATCATCATTTTCATCTAAACTATATGCCATACACATAGTTACCTCAAATCCAATTTTGCTCAGCATCCAGTGTAAAAGAGAGTTTAATTCAATGCACATCCCGCCTCTGTTTTTCATTACAATTTCTTCATATATTGTAGGCAGATCATGGACTCTCTTTTTTCCTCCAAAAATATCAAGATTTTCATATGGGATGGATGATACATAGTGTATGCACAATTCATTTAGTAAGTTTAAATCTGCTGGTTTGGTGGGCCCGGAGTACTTCATTCGCTTTAAGAGTTTGCCAAGCTCCATGTTAAGATTACTATTTAGAATTCCTGGGTGGGCATTCAATTCCTTGCAAATATTGGTGCACCAGGTACGGTACCACTGCCAGTTCAGCGATTTATGAAGTACTGGTAATAGCTCAGTCGCCAGTGTGATAGCGGGTGTTTTATTTAGCGCAAAGTAGGCACAAGAACCGCGCCTCGGTCTCGCGCATGCAGTGACTAAATGCTGATGTGGTGGACATCGGCTACTGAAATCTCGTATTAGTAGTGTTGTGCGTAGTCATGGTGAATTGCGGACTCCCGTGGCGGTAACTAGTTACGGTGTTACGATATGCGCTGGCAATATACTTTTTGTGAATTGCAAAGTCATTCCTCATGTGCCCTGGAATATCCACAGAGCTGATCTTGTCATCATGAGACTCCTGACCCGTGACGCACGGAATGGATTTTTATGAACCGTATCATTTAATCAAATATTCTTTGCGACCAATACAATGGCGGTTCCTCTTTGATGTGTTTTTGTACAAAACGGTTGAGTTTGACTATTCTGAGCTTATCTCAGATAATGAAGTTTTCTCATATGTTGCACCACTCCATAGTACAAGGATGTACAACCTGGGGACCGAAAGCCGCCCGCAAAGAAAAATTGTGCGGCCTCCGGAGAAGTGCCAATTTTGAACGGCGTGCAGCCCGCGAACGAGTTTTTAATTTAGTTTAATCAGGAACGTACGAGTAATGCCAACCCCTTTGCGTTGCAAACTTATCCAATTAATAATTTATGCGTATATATGACGTTACAGTGCCCTAACAAATAGCTTGTGTAAAGCGAACAGCGCATGTTATATGATCAATAATCTAAATTTTGTGCATACTACCACTAGAAAGCCTATGTTATATGAAGGTGCGGCTCACGGTTTCACCGAGTTATTTGTATTTGGCCTTCCTGTATTAAATGTTGCACACCCCTGTCTAGCCAATTTCAATTCCATGTCCTTCTGCGACGTATAGTGACTAAAAAATTGAAGCTAGGGCTCTTCAAGCTGTTGGCCAGGCATCTGAGAAGGATGGACGGTGTTACAGCGACATAAAAATGAAGCATCATACCTCCACTAAACCTGCCACAAAACTAGAATAACTGAAATAGTAGTACTTTGAATGGATATGTCGAGTTTACGTGCAAAATCGAACTCGACAAAAACAGATAATATAATAGACCAGGGGTGTGCAACATGCGGCCCGAGGAGAAGTGCTAATTTTGAATGGTGTGCGGCCCGCGAAACCAGCTTTTAATTTAGTTCAATCTGCTACGTGCGGGTAATTCCAATCCCTTTGTGTTGCAAAGCCTATGCCTGATTCCAATTTATTATCTATGCCTACAACGTTACAATGCCCTTACAGCTAGGTTGTGCGAAGCGAATAACGTATATCATACGAGAATATCGGTTAGAGACCGAAGACTTATCGATCAAAAGTTAGGGGATCCCAAAACAGCGCTCTTAATCCATAGTGACACCTTGTGTCCCATCACTAATTAATCGATAACTCGCTAATTATAAGACATAATTCGCCCAAAATCAATAGGTTTCTGGTCCGAGATATGATGAATGCACATGCGAAATCTGGAGCAGATTCAATCGCTTTCGTGAGATATCGCGGGCATCTAACACACAGACAGACAAATACCCATCAACATACTTACCGATTAAAATCGATAAGTGATAAGATCAATAACCAAAAGTTTTGTGCGAGCAACTACTAGAAAGCCTATGTTGAATAAAGTTGTGGTTTTATCCAGTTATTAGTGTATCTGGGCCCCCCATTTATTCGAAGGTTGCGCACCCTGTAATAGACCACACACATCGCTTTTATTTATTGAAAAACTATCTACTGAATGGCTCCCCAATGCTCGGAAGTTGCGCAAATAGATTTATACGGGTATGTATATATGGAAGCGACCGGAAAACAGTATGGTTCCGCACGTCAGTTCATGGAATTGGTATAGAATAGCCATTTCGTTCACATAGTCCTCCATTAATCAGATAGAATGAATTCTTGATCTTCACACGTATATAAGCATATTACTATGATTGTGATCCACACATTCCTGCTATTCAGCCTTCTTCAGAAATTTTAAAAGACATTTATCTATGATGCGATTCATTATATTTGACAAACATGTACAACATTAAAGAATATTGATAAAAAAAAGATTTTCAGAAAGTAACAAATGTCATGTAAGCATAGAAATAAGAAAATTGTTACGATGTCAGATCGACAGGAGCATTTCTAATATAGCACCACAAGGTCGGAGAGCATCTTGTGTCAAAAATTGTACTACACTCCATATAAACACTAGGTAAATAGTTCAACTGTCAACAATATTGCTTGTCCAAAGGCAGACAAACAGGTGGATGAATGGAGGTTCATCAATAACCTATTTAAATATTTAACACCAAACGGTTATTTTATTTTTGAACCTAAAAAAAGTCACTAACATTTTTTTTTTATCACATTTATTTATTTATTGGGAATCCATTCTTATTACGCTTACGTGTGTCAACTTCCTATTGCCATTTTAATAAATAACATGAGATTAATTTGGAGGAATTGAAGTCAGTCAAATGATGTTTAGGTAAAAAGTAAGCAAGCTATGGCACGGGGTGAAACTCTGGAGGAAACATTGATAACTATAGTAGAAACTAAAAGTATCTTTGAAGTTTCTGCTCACTTGAATGAATACTTTAAACAATATATAAAAGAATATTTCAATGTCATTAGAAATCAAAGATTTTGGTTTTGGGTTAGTTTTAATATGTATATTTTTAAATTGCAGAAATATTGTTTTCATTAAAATCTTATTCAACCTTAACTTAGCAAATGGTACTGGATCATACTTGTATAAATAAATACAAAACGGAATGTGCAAAGGACAATAGTATAAAATACAATAATGCACATAAGTATACAATACAGTTCACCAGCATAGTTAATATATATGATACTTTGAATATATTTTACATAGCAAGAATACATATATCAAATCTTTGGATAAAAAAAGCAACAATCTGAATCTACTTCACATGTTTGAATTCGCATATTCCCAAGATATCTTATCGTCAAATGCAAATGTAACTTGTTTGTAAATGTAAAAAGTTTGAGAATTAAGCTTGAGAATTATATTTACAAAATTATTACTCGAGCAGTGGTATCAAAAACAAAATCAAAAACAATCCAAGAATTTCTGAAGTTGAGGCGAGAAGTATATATATATATATATATATATTACAAATTTTTGCCTCCTCAGAAATATCTTACTTTTAATTTCACTACCCAGAGATTTTCCCGAAGTTATCAAATTTGAATTTTCATTTTTAAAGTATTGCATTGAAAAGAATTTTTTTATGGTAAACTAGATTGGTTTCCAAACTGTCCCAATCATAAATGGCACAAATGAATATATTGTGTATCTTGGAAGTTAAGAAGAAAAATGCATATGAAAGAAAATATTTAAATGTAAGCTCTATTTGACTCTATACAGTGAGTGCAATGGTTACTCAAAATTGATTCTAAAATATTCAATGAAATTTTACCCAGATTCACCCATCACTGACCATCCATCAGTAGACTAGAAATCAAAATTTTAAAAACAGTGATACTATTTTGGTCCAATGTGTAGTTTAAGCAGAAAGAAGTTGAAACGACCAAAAGACAAGGAAAATAATGAAGCGAAACATCACATCACAGACATTGATAGTAGTGTAACAATAATAAGTACATTAAAACATCAAATTTTCTTTAAATATACCACAGTGACCAAAAGATCGACGTATTATACCGGTCATATCTGCCTTACAAAATAAAAACAATCTGACTGTAAGATTTACAATATTACAAAGTTAACATGTTAAAAGAAGGCAAAAACAACCATGCGATGTAACAGTACTAAATGTACAAGTAATAAAGAAAGATACAAACAATAAATTAACTACAGCACAGTGTCAAAGAGATAATTCAAGTTTACTCTAAAACTACAGTTTATTCATTTTTACATATTTCTCGAAAGCAAAAGTATTTATTTTTTGTCGATCCGCCCATTTTCTTAAAACATGTAAGATGACATATTATCGGAGCAAAAAACTATATGCAATATAAGTAACACAGCAGCAAAGTTGATTCAAAAATACCGGTAAGTAAACTCCTGTGATGAATTAGGATTCCACGTATTATTGGAACATCAAAACACAGCATTGGGACCAATTAACAATCTTGCATTATCACTGTAAAGCGGAATCCAGATACAATCAGAAAAGTACACAATTGTTTGGGTAATACTGAACTGGAAGATAATTTGAAATAAAGATTTTGCCACAAGTCTTTTGAATATAAAACTATCAAATATTACAATTCTATAATATTTTAGTCGCAATATTCCCCCATTCCTATATTAATTACATGTAATTTAGATTGATTCTATGTATGTAACACTGCTACTGTGCATCACTAAGGACAATCAACAAGATAATTTAACACTGAAACAGCAATATATTTATTTGATTTATAATATATATTTACTACTAAAGCATGAAAAATGTAAGCGAAAAAGTAGTAAGATATTAAGACAATGTATTTGAGGATAAAATCCGATAAAATTTGGAACAAGTTTCAGTATCTAAGACATGGGAAAACAACTAAAAGGGAACGATAACCACGACTGTTCTACTCTATATGTCAAAATATAGCATAGAATTTTTGTACCAACAACAATATATGATTTACCATTGACTTTGTTCTTGTTGAAAACAAGCAAGATTTGGGGCAAATGCTATCTTTTGGGTAATTTAGATTGCTGTTTACTCTGAAATGATAAAGTTGTTTTAGCCCCGTTAGTTATTTTACTTTTAGTCATTTTACTCTTATCATGGTCCCACACATTTCCATTCGTTAACGAAGTTTTAGATTTTCCGTTCTGTGAAATATTTGAAGTCTTTTTCTTCAGAGCAGAAGAGTCTTTAGATGGAGTAACTGTCGTACCGAAAGCTATTTTTCGACTTTCTTTCTGCGTCTGTGCAGTTCGAGTTATACCTGTAAGTGACGAAGTGCTACTTTGACCAGATAGAGGTTCACGTCTCCATATGTTGGTGGTATTATGTTTATCATTGTCTGCCTTCAATTTTAATTTTTGTTCTTTGTCATCTGTGTTTCTCGAACTCGGTTTTGTTTGAGTTTTAATTCCACCATTTGGAACGAGGGATAATGGAAGAGATCTCTTTGGTATACTTGATACTGTAGATGAAGTTGATGAATCACGATGTGGTGATGGTACTGGACGATATCTTCGTCTCCTGGTGAAGCAAAATAATATGAAATATAACACATTGAGTTCAGTTGGAAATAATGAAATCATAAGCAGATACAATTGAAGCCATTCAACACTGGATCCCTATTTTCAAATAGGAACTAAAATTCCTAAAACAGAACAGAAGGTACTGAAATATTGTGTATTGCACTACAGGTCCTTTCTCCTTGTCTATGCCCTATTTCAGATATGTATGCGTCCGTTACCTCAAGAATGCTTGAACGAGATAGCATCAAAGTGATAAATTATAACATAATCACAAACAGAATATACTTGTTATTTCTTGGAAATAGATCATATTTTTTTATTTAAAACAGATTTTTTACTCAATCAACAGTCAACAGTCAATGTAAATCTTGTTGCAGCATTAATACACGCATTCACCAGAGAAAAAGCAGAGACTGTGATAGGCAGCTTGCGTAAACACAACCAAAGCAGGTTGGTCAATAACAAGATTTATACAAAAATATTTTAACCCTCGGAGTAAAGAAACTTATACTACACTACAGATTCCTGGATGCAAAAATATGACAACAAAATCCATGATCCGTCAGTGCTTATCACATGTGAGGATACAATCATTTGATTTGAACACTTCTGTACCATTTTCATAGGGGGGTAAGGGGGTCTAAAAAGCGTATCGATCTACAAAAATTGTTATGTATAATACAGAAAAATGCCTCTTTAGGGGGGGAAGGGGTCCGAACCCTAACCAACCCTTGGCTACACCCCTGTTCTGTACAATTCTATATTCTCACCTAGCTTGAACGATTAAATTTTGAGTTTGTGGCTTCTTCCCCACAGGTGGTCTTGGAACACGAGCTGGACTAGGACCAATCACATCTTCTTTTGCAAAATCAACCCTTTCACTCCTTTCTAACTTTGGTTTTTGTGGCGATGATGTTTTCTCTTTTCCTCCTTATGATAAAATAAATAATAAGAGTGCTTTGTATGATTTAACCATAAAAATAATAATCGAGCAATAATGAAGTTGCTCTATCTTCCGTTATTTATTATTAAGTTCCTCTACCAAATTTACCATAGAACTTTATGAACACCCTGTATTCATGATTTTGTTAGATATGGTACCATCTTCAATAACAGTGTTAGAATTATTATATTCCTTGAAACCATTCTTCATAAAGACTTTTTAATGCGCTAAATTTTTTTGTTATCTCTGGCTCACTAAAAACAGGTTATAACCAGATCATATTCAGAATGAATCAATTTCACTTGGATATTAAAATATCAAATCTCCTTTTAAAGCAAGATGGTACCAATCATACATGTGAAATTGAATGGACACGATTCACATATCGCTGGATATTTGTGGCTGCTCGAAAAGAGCCTTATTCGGAGCAAAAGGTGTGAATAAGGCAGAGTTCATTCCTTTTCCATGCACAAAAAAATTTATTCTCGACTTCCTTATTACTTACCTTTTGATTCTAGAAGCTTGGACTTGGGTATATTCTTCTCCATTTGTTTATTATTATTCTGATTACATAGTGGGGAAGTAATCGATCTGGGACTTGGAGCAGGTGATATGGATGACGATATTGAACTCAATTTCTCCAATTTTGTACCTGAAAATATAACAAAGCCTGAGTGAAGAAATTTTATACAAAATATTGTTTGTGTCCTACTACGCTAGTTTCAACCTTGATATACATTAGGCATTGAGCAACTAATTATACTTCACTTAACAACTAAAATTTGCATTCGATACACCAACTTTTAGGGTCGACAGCTCTTTCCAAAGTTTGAATACCATAAAAAATTGGAAGCTTTCAGCAGCTTTCCCATGAACAACTTCAGTCCACCGTGGAAACGGTTTAAGTGTTTGTGACACCTCCTAAAGCCAAGATGTCTTATATTATTCGGTGCTGATTACATCACAAATATAAGGGTTGGAACAAAAACAACTTGACACCCTGCACTTTGTAGAATGTTATCTATATATAGTGAAAACAACTTCAAAAATATTACTGCATCCAAAATATTGGATGATTAATATGCTATGGGAAAATATCAACTTTGAATCCCACATTGAAACATAATAAAAGTTTATTGATCTTTCCAGCGACACTGAAAGACAAAACTCACCTTTTGATTTCTTTAAATTGGATGAAAGAGGTGATATTGATCTATCCATACTTGGTATTGGAAGTGGTTTCGTGATTTTTCTGGAGAAAAAAGATAAGTCTTGTTAAGCAATCTCGATTTTGAAAAGAAACTACGACCCGCGAGCCCAACCCCGCTCGTTAGGTTATTTAATCTGGCCCACTTGATGCTACCACAACCAAACTGAAACCAAATTTCGATGTTTTAGCTAAATAATAGTTCAAGGAATTTGTTGGGATTGCGATTAAACTTAGTTTTGGTTTAAGGCCTATTGTTTTCTACTTTTGTTTTTGTAACACTGTAAATATGGTTCACGAAATGTTACTTTTTGTGTATAGGTGGATGAAATTTTTTGCCCCTAGTTCAAAAACCTTGCTCACCCCTGTTCAATGGTTTTAATATCAAATCTACTGGTCAATGTTATTTCAGAGTTAAAAACATTTTCTCAGAATAAAACATTATATTGTACTGACACTTCATCAGTATTGTGGAGAAATTCATGCTTACTAGAATTTTCAGTATCGATACATTTACTTTTATGTGTTTAAAAATTGCAATAAAATAATACTCCTAAACTTATTCCGCTGTTTACATGCGATCATTCTATTGACTGAATTTATTGCATTCATGTGAAATACTCACCCAGTTGCAGGTTTCCTTGATCTATCCATATCAACCATGAAATTTGGAATTGTTTTCTGATCATCTTCCACATTCTGAATACAAATGGGGAATAAAAACATGTAGAACTTGAACAGTAGGGGTACACTTTGAAATGAAATAACTGAATCAATGAAAATTTACTCAGATACTAAACCCGATACAGAAAGATATATTAGCATGCCTTCAAAAATTACACCAAATTAATTAGGTAGGTAGCTGGTGTACCAACATGGTAGTATAAGTAATAATGATGAGGTACTATTTAAATGGCACTCCTGAAGTTAACTAATTTTGTTCGCCTACTTTACATCAAGTTGTGTAAAGGGACGGAAGCCATTGGGCAGGGGGTATATTCACTTGGCTAACACAGACAGTCTCCGAACTCGTAATAAAATTATGGCCTAACCCTAACTTGGTACACATACTACGAAAGTACAAATTTAATATCATTCGATATATTCGAACATATCACTTCTATATTAAAGTGTTTATATCATTAAACTATGTATCAAATTATGATATTTGCCAAATTTTGGTTTGTAAATTCAGTAGGACATTCTAGTGTAAAATGCTATATTTATTTTACATAATAATATATACTAATTATGTACTAGTTATCATAAATACATTTGGAAAGTTAAATGATGATATGATATAACTGATAATACCTTTTTTTCAACAAAATTCTTGAGAGCAGCTGGATATTTCAAATCATTTTCAAAATTTGATTCTCTGTCCTCATTGTACTTTGATAAATGACTCAAACTGAACAAAATATTCAGGATATGACAATCAAAAATGTGTTCCTCACAATATTACAATTTACAAATATAAAAAATTGCGTTTTGAAATAAAACTTCCTGCTTCAAAAAGGTGTGTGGTTTTACTCATCCAATATGAGGATTAAACAATTGTTTACATTTTTAAGGTAAACATAACATCGATAAAACATACTGAAACAGATAACTGCATTAGTGTTAAATGGGTCTAAGCCTGACATGGGCACACTTGGTCTGCTGGCCAAATCTGGCCCGTTGGGTAATTTAAGTTGGCCCGCCTGATGCTGCCACAAACAAACTAAAAGAAAATTTTGATGTTTCAGCTGAAAATAACTCAAGAATTTGTTGATTTGGCAATTAAATTTAGTTTCGGCACGGGGCCTATTGTTTTCCACTTTTACATTGCCCTCCAGTCTAGATGGGCAAAATTCCTGGTCCCTACTCAAAAATCTCGCCCTGCTAAGCCTAAAGAATCCATTCAAGATGGCAAAAAGGTACAATATGCTTCGATGCTAATCGGTAGTAAAAAAATATGTCCCTTACTTGATACCAACTCTAGATGCAGCCGCTGCAAAATAATCTTCTTCCAAATTATGAATCGCATCATATTCATGACGAGAACCTTTCCTTATTCCTCTCCTAATAAAATAAAAGAAGAAATGGTTAAACAGTGGAAATATGGTGGATTGAGCCCTAGAGGGCTATGATTTGAATCATAAAAAGCTGGAAATTACGTCAGTAATTTAGTTTATAAAACTCAGCTTGTAAATTTTTCCGGTCTCTGAATATTGTTAAAACAAATTATCCCACGATAATCCAAATTCTGATATGAAGCTGTAAGAAATACATTAATTAACACTAGGTATGCAGCAACAATACTAAATGATTCTTCAGGCAAATATCTTGTACGAAAAATTTGTAGCATGCATTTTAATTGCAATGTAGAGCTAGAGAAAAATAACAGGTAAAATCTTAATAAAAAAATGATAAAATTAAGATGACAAAAAATTTTGCATAATTGTAAATTAACACTACGAACATTTTTTTACTTGAAGAATCAATGCAGATTCCCCATGAGGAATAATTAAATAAACTTGCCTCAACATTTGTCTATCAGAAGTTGATGTCAGCATGCTTTCTTCTTTTTCCGAAGCAATTTCTTCTTCCAAAGATGCAGGAATTAAATCGGAATGACTTCGAGATGATTCTCCTCTGTTTTTCTTATCCTTGTTCAAATTTAATCTTGGTTTCAAATTACTGGCTGGTTTTCTTCTTGGAATCGTAGACTGTTAATTATAATAAGTATGAATGATTATGAAACACACTAAAATTAAGGCTTCGCGTTATAATAAATAAACCAATACATCTGATAACATATGTAGGCTATGGCTAACACATGTTTACAATAATCATAATGAACAAAATAATGGAAAAATATTTCAAGGGTTCTGTGAATATGATTAAACTTTTGAATATCAAGAATCCAATCTATTTTAATATGGGTCTGGTTCCAACATGAACAAGTTTGTAATAATAAGCAATTTATCCTAAAATGAATAGTAACAAATATTTGGATTGACAAGGTAATATCTGAAGCAATTCTAATATTCAATACCTGCTTCTAACTTAAACTTTCCCCGACCAAATAACTGTACAATAAATAAAAATTATCTGACAATTTTTAAACTATTGCAAAATCACTAGTAATACCTCACCAAACCAACCACAAACCAATTTACAGAGCTGACACCTATTTCTGACTCCCTGAATTGAACTGAATAAGCATGCTACTTTACCCATTGAATATATTACGTTAACCAAATGTTATTAAATTGAAACTGGTATGCCATTTTCTGTATTTTGGTATTAACTTTTGGTATCCAATATTCCATATTTTCAAATACACAATTTTGAATAGCTCAAACATCACATTTGTCAAACTAAATTCTATTTCTGACGCAGACATCAAAATCCAAATGTACATCTTCATTTTTGGGTTAGGCCATAATTTATTCCGATATTTTAGATTTAGTTCTATTACGAGTTCAGGGACTGTCTGTGTTAGCTAGGTGGATTTGCCTTGCCCTTGGTTTGCCTTGCCTTGCCCATAGGTTTCAGTCCCTTTACACAACTTGATGTAAAATAGGTGAACAAAACTAGTTACCTCCATATTGGTACACACACTTCTGGAGCGACCTAAATTCTATCTCTGTTGCAGATCACCAAAATCCAAGTGAGCAACCTAATTTTCAACAACAACCTGAAACTTCGCTGCACTCACCCAAGCTCAACACTAAATGAATCTGAAAAAGCTCTCACCACAATACAGGTGATCATTTCCCACTTAATCACAACACACCACAGGTAAAGGATCAGTAATGCTTGTATTATGATAACCTAAGTAAACTAGGCTTGGATTAGACTAGTATAATCTCATATTGCCAGAGAAGATTAAAATCAAATTGATTGAAATAAGTTATTATAGACTTCGAAATTTATAATGATTTCACAATGTTAATAATGTACATAGAATATAAGTATTCAAAAACATATTATTAAAAGGATGAAGTAGTTAGACAACTTCCATATTGCCTGAAAATGCATATACCTGACAACTCACAGACTAATGAACTATATAGTTACAGTTCCCATTAACCAGGACTATCCAATATAAATTGAATATTCGAATCAATCCAAAATTAATTACAGTACATTCAATACTTTAAATGCATGATTTTAGGAATAATTTAGAATATATATTTTTTTGATTCTTATTTAGAAGTTCAAAAGTCTAGCAGTATGACCAAAGAGGACTTCATTTAATTCCCAAAAACTAAAATAAAAATGGAAAGCTATTTAACTGCTGTTTAAATGAACTACACTGCATTTTCACATCAATCTCACTGGATATACATTGCCTTATCTGTTTTTCTATGCGTTACTTGTTAAACATGACCAATTTGAAATATTTGATTTTCCATACGCAATAATACTAAATAAGAATGCATTTGGTATTGTAGATAAATTAGTTTAGGTCATACCTTTTGGTTATCCACAGACCAGCCTTTGCTATTTAGGTTAAGTAAAACTTCGATTCGCTACCTGATAATTCGACTGGTGTCTTTTTACAGCAAATAAACCCCCCATTTTTTTCATGCATATGAATATGGGCATGATTGTTACAAAGGAGGGAGGGCAGAGTAACTTACCTGATCATGACCATCTTTATTCAAATCAATATTGCTCAAACTCGATTCTGACACATCAGATGGTGCAACTGGTTTGTTACGAGCCAAAGACATTGCTTTCATGAACGGTGTGCGTTCACCAGTAGCTGAATTCAAAAAAATAACATTATAATGAATGTCAGATGTTAGCTAAATATTTGATATTTCTGGCATTCTGGAGCATAAAAATATTTAGTGCAAAAAGCATTACGTCATGGCAAAATGCAGTACCGGTAGTTTATATTATATACAAACATTATATACAAAGCGAAAAAATACTTAGCAATTAGCATAACCTCTTACTTGAAATAATTCTTTTATTGGCATCACTCAGTGATTTGTAACTTGGTGAGAACAGATCAGGTGACGATGCTGAAGAATGACGTTCTCCTGATATTGAATACAAAAATAAACAGTGAGATATAACTCAAACTCAGAGTTGGGGCTCGCACATATTTGCACGGCCTGTTCTTGTAATACAACCGCAGCAAATGGGTACAGTGAACCGCAGCTGATGAGTTCTGTGATGTTTAGCAATACAAAATTTATTTATTTAAGTAAAATGTGTCATGTTAAGGCAGTGACATACATAAATTTTCAGAAATGGGTGAGCCTGTTGTTACAGAGTTTGATAAAGTGATTTTGAATCTTATCACATCTGAAAACCATCTGATAAAACTATATTTTTCTCATTTTAGCAAATGTGTATCACATAACAAACTGAACATTCGAAAATGTTGTGATCAGTATAGTTTAGAAAATAACATAACTCAGGAATGAATTTATAAAGAAAAAAGTGAGACATGGGTTATATGCCAAATGGTATCTACTGTAATCTATGTGGCACTAGTCAACCCAAATGCAGCTCTACGGGCACAGTAGTCGCTTGAAGTGAAATCTTGGAACCTTGCTTTGATCAAGTTATCACAAAATTCAATATTAGATATTTTGTTCTTTTCATTCAAATATTCCAAATAAGAAAATGCTGCTAGTTTGTTATCACTAGATGTAAATTAGAGAATTCAAAATAGAACAGAGAAAAAATTAATTCGAAAAAAAAAGCAAACAATACCTTTACTGCCTCCAGCACTGTAACCAGAGTGACCACCAGCATCAGATTGATGTACCGGTGGGCTACTTGCTGATGAACTTGAACTTTGCGTACCAGCGGAAGGTTTTTTAAGTCCCATTTTGAGTTTATTCGAAGATCTCGAAAACCTGTCTTTGGGACCAAAAACGGATTCGGCACTTTTTGACAAACCAGATTTCCTCTTTGGAAGCAGAGATGACATTTCTCGCTTTTCGTGAGATTGCAAAATTGTCAATGAAATTTCTTTATTTTGCATATCTTTTTCTTTATTCTCAGTACTTGGTGGTGATTTTTTAATAAATGTAAGGCCAGATTTGAATGTTTGTGGATGCCGATGCATTTGAGCATCTTTTTCTTGCACTTTTGAGTCTCTACTAAGACTTGTCGATTTATAGGATTTACTCGGTTGAGGCAATCTACTTTTTTCACTTATTGTGGACGGTGAATGCTTCTTATCATGTGATTCGGTAGATTGGACGGAGCTTGGTTTATTCACAACTTCTTTTTTACCTTCCTTGTTCAAAACAGTTGGAACCGGTTTCGACTGGCTTGTTCCCGATTTTACCAGTCCAGACAAAAGTAAATCCAACTCTGCTGAAATATTCCCATGTTTTTCATCATTGTCAATAGCAACAGTTTTAATAGAAGGCTTATGCGACATATCATTATCAACCTTTTTAAAGCTTGTACCAGGGTGTATTTGCTTATCATTAAGATGATTTTCATGCAAATCAGAATTTTCATTTTTCTGGTCTAATTTTTCATCGGGAGGTTTAGTTAGTTTTTCAACTTCTTTATCATTTGAAGCTTCAATGAATAATTTTTGAGGAGTTTCTGGTGAAATTTTATTCTCTTCAATGTCTTTTGTATTCCTACTATGATTGATGTCTTTGGATTGGAGATCAGAGGCAAGTATAGGAGTTGGCATAACAAGAGGAAAACTATCAGCAATTTGTCTTTCGATGGCTGGTACGGATGAAATATCTGGAGGCATTTCCTGAAATAAATATAATTGTTTTACTATTCTAAAACCGACCAACTTGCTAAGAATTTGTTCGACCATTCAAGACATGTAAATGACACACGTAATACCTATTGTCAGCAAGTTTTTCGGACCAGGGGCTAAAATTTTGCCCATCAAGACTGGTGGGCCATGTAAGTGTGATGTAAAAAGTTACATTTGATGAATAATATTTACAGTGTTACGAAAAGCAAAAGTGAAAAGCACAAAACCTTGTGCCGATTTAATCGCAATTTCAACAAATTCCTTGGTTGGAACTATTTTTTAGCTAAAACATGAAGTGTGGTTAGGTTTGGTTGTGGCAGAATCAGGCAGTTCAGATTGAATTACCCAACGAGCCAGATTTGGCCCGTAGTTTGCCCATGTAAAAGCTATAGCAAAATTCAATATAGTCTGGATAGTAATATTCAGTTTTACATTCCAAATCGTGCAATTTATCTTGCAATTTCAACACAAGATCAGACTATGGGTCTGCAATATCTCCAACGTTATGAGATTTGAATCCGAGATGTGTAATTTGTGATGATAACACAGTTAAGTCTAACATAGTGGTCCTGCCCCTCAAGTGGGCCCGTCTCACAAGAGGGGCGTTGACAATTTTTTTGAGGAGGAGTAAAACATTTGTTAGATTTGATTTCGTCCACCTCATTTTGGATACCGGTATTTACATTTCAAAACTTTTCATTTATTTCATTATTTAAGTTCCATCCATGTATTTTTAAAATGTTTTTTTAATAAAACATACTTTCGCGTTACTATCTGTTATTTGTAGCTTATTGTCAGCTAGGTATTTTTGAGGTAGGGCCCGAGACTTTGAGTTTGAGAACCACTGGTCTAACACTTTAACTGTTAAACCATCGAACTAAACAATTCGGTTACTGTGCGCTGCTTATTAACTAATCATATTCCATTTACATAACATAAGTGGACTAAAGAAAATTTAATCAAACCTGCATTTCTTCCTTAGCATCTTCATATTCACCATGACTTGGACTTCCTTCTGCAACTTTCTTTTCAATTTTAGGTTCCCCAGTAATTTGATCCTAGGACAAAAATACAATAATTAATATAAATAAACTTCAACAGCACTGAGCATAATAATTTCAACAATGGCCATATTGAAATACCATGCACAAAAAACTTTAGAATTTAGAATGCAGTGCGTTAAGCAAAAAAAAAATCAAACATCTTAATGCAACATATTGAAAATTTTATTAATTGTTATTTATCCAGAATGTTTTGCCAATAAAATGAAATGGTCTAAAATAGCAATCCAATGCATTAAATACAATTCTGCTTTGGATAGTACTTACCGATACTTTGGTACTTGATGCACTAACTGATTTAATACCTTTCCATATTTTCTCAGTCCTACAAAATCTTTATATTTTTACTCTAAATTTCTGCTGGCTTTTATAGTACACAAGCACACCTTCCTTGACATTTGGTACCATTCTTTTAAAATTTGACAAGTAGGATATTTTGCTAACATTGCTGCCATATCCATATTTCGTGGGCGTTATGGCCCAGTGGTTAAAGCATTGGACTCAACTACGTTGGCATCGCAGGCCCAGAACTCGGGTTCAAATCTCATGCCCACCGGCTGTATTAAGTTTGGCAGGCAATGCCGAACCAAAAGGATTCTAGTTCTTTCAATTAATAATTATATCTATATCAGTCAACCTTTTTGGTGTTATCTTTTTCAATTTCATCTGAGGCCGATTTGAAATCTTCATTAGCCAAATTGTGCTCTTTTCCAGTCTTTTCAATATTCATATTTGCAACCTGAAATAAAATAAAAACATAGTGAAATGAAAAATAATTTACTTTCCAATTCAAAAATAATCTTATGTGAAAACTGACCTGGTCTAAACTTTCAACTTTTTCCTTGTTTACTTCAACAAAACCAGATGAAGCCATTCCAGGTTTCACTGGCAAACCATTTTCAACCTTATAAAAAGCAATGTTATAAAAAATAAGTCCTGACCTGCACTAAAACACAAGCATTTATCAATCTGAGTTACAAATTTCTCATCTACATATCGAGGCAAATATAAATAGGATTATTCTAGTCTAGTGTGATGGCCTAGCAGCAAACATGAAACTGCGTGTTGGCATCGCAGGTTGCACATTTTGGGTTCAAATCCCATGACCACCACCTCACCACCGGGAGGCAATGCCAAACTGCAAAGATTTCAATCATTTCGAAAAAATTGTTGCGTCTTACATATCATCGGATATCACTGGCTGCGCATACACGGTCTCATTCAAAGCGAGAGGGTGTATGAGTGTATGTGAAAAATTATTTTTTTTAAATAATTATCTTTTTTTTTTTAATAATTAACTTCTACTTATAAAAGGTGAAGTCCAATTATCAAGACCATATAATGACTTGGTGATTATCACAATCAATAATAACTTGATAAAATGTAAATGTTACCTCATTTTCATCAACATCCTCTATTATTATTTTATCTTCAGCTTTAATTTTTTCATCCAGTTTATCATTTGAATGTAATTCAACTAATTCTTTTTCATCAACTTGATAATCAGCATTCAGTGACGTCTAAATGTAGCATACATCCTACTGTTATTAATTGTTAACCATAACCCAAGCCAACCAAACTGAGACAGAGAACTATTTAGACACAAACAACATGTTGCATTTAAATGTTGTCCAGTTTAAGTCACCATTTAGCATACTCCATATCATTTGCAAATTGCCTCAACCAAAATGAGAGCTTCACTTGAAAGGTTTACAAAAACTCAAAAAAAAAAAGAAAAACGAGGAAAACATATAATTTTAATTTTTAAGCATCAAACTTTGAGTAGAAAACCAGCTTAAAAGCATCTATTTCATTAAATTTTTTTACAAATAATTTTTTTTTCAGAATTTCAACATTCGCCCTCTCATCTTAACACCCTCCAAAATATATCGTTCATTATAATATAATCACAACTAAAATTAGAACCAATCCATGTTAAATTAGTGGTGAATTTTGGTAGTATATGACTTAGTATATGAATGAATACTAAAAAGTGAATCGTGAATCTTAAAAAGTGCTGACATTTGACATGCATTAAAAATTATCATAAAAACCTAACCAGAATAAACTTGCTCTCACAGACATTCTAATTAACAATTTAGCGCCAGTCAAATTTTTATAAAGATAATAAAAACCTTACATTTTTTTGAGGTAGAGATACAACTTGTGGTATAGGTAATTTTCTTCTTGGACTTGAACCAGGACTTGCATTTGCATTAGCAGCATGAATAATTCCACTTGTAACCCAAGGATGTAAATCCTGAATTTGGAGAAATTACGAGCATAAACAAATAATCTGATGATAAAATAACAACATAGGAAAGCTCATATCCAAATCACTTCATATTTTAGAATTGTGATTCTATACCAGGGGTGGGTAACCTTTTCCGGCTCGCGTGCCGAAATGGACTAAATTTAATGACAAAAGTCTTTCGCGTGCCGACCAAAATTGTCGAGAGCTCACTCAGTTGTGATGTGAGGTCATAATATATTTCATTAAAGCCATATGTCATGAATGGACAAAAAGACTTTAAATAAATAACGGATTGTTAACAAACAACAATGATTAAACGGGCGCAGAGTTTCAACAGATAATTCAGAGTCTTGAAACTTTTTATATGAAAAAAAAAATGATTTCGTTTCTGAAGCCTCGCTCACGTGCCGAATAAATGGGCTCGCGAGCCAAGTTCGGCAGGGGTTGCCCAGCCCTGTTCTATACTATGTTACAATTGAATTTCAAATATTTCAGATAAATGTAATTTTTAGTAGGGCCTACATAAGCGATGACCAAAATCAAACAACTCACTACACCAAATTCATGTGATCCAAGTTTCTGTTTTCTTTGGGTCCACCCGTATATGAAATGAATAACCTATATGAAAATAAACAATCGAAGATTGAATCACTACCTGTAGTATTCTGGGAGGTGATCTAGTATGAACAGCAGGTATAAGAGGTGGTGGAGATTGAGCATTATTTATTTGTTGTCCATCTTCATACATCATATTTGCCGCAGCATCAAGTTCATGATCTGTATTAGCAGCTTCAACTACACCAGAAACAACTTCCATTCTGTAAAATTATTTTGGTAAACATGTATTTCATTATGATACTATTACAGTATTCAAGGAAATATATGACAAAAGTGTTTTTATGCTTATACATACCAGCCTTATATCTCCTTGCAAAGTACTGGTCACGACAAGAGGGCTTTAACTCAAGGGCGAAACTCGGAAAAGCAGGTTTTAGACAAAAGGTAAACATAGATTTTTGATTTTAAACTTCTGTGAATTTTCATTGAAATACTTTAGTGAATATTGCTTCAGAATATGATTAGATACCAGCCCAAAGAGTGCACATTTTCTGGTAATGCTTTCAAATAAAAAAAAATTCTAAATTTTAACATTCACCCTTTCGGCTTAAATACCTCATCTTACGGTGTTCATTTGTCATAGAGACATTAAGAAATTGCTTCCAACAAAATCATTCTTTGATTGTGGTATAATCACTGATCACAAGTGAAATAAAATATATTACATGTTAGGTTGGTGGCTCACCTTGGTGGTGTGGTTGGAATTGGTATTGATATGCTTGATTAAAATTTCTCACCAGCTGTTAATTGCTTGATTAATGACCGAATATTACTGTTTTTAATCAAGGGGTCATAGTAGAAATTAACATTGAAAAATCATGAAACATTCAAGAAGAAACATCCAACTTCCAAACATATTTTAGTAAAAATTATAATATAGCAATAAATCACATTTTACCTACAAGTTCTCAGATAAATACACATTTTCATCATTATTACAAATATGCGCAAATGGGCCATGCCTACATGGTACAATATATGTATAGGCCATGCATCTGGTGGGCAGAAAATATTCATTAATATTAACGGGCAGTAAAGGGTCAATCCGTCTTTATACTGCATATCGTAAATGGGCGCCAACATCTGCTACAAGTCATGAATAATTTAGAATTACCTGCAGACCAAGTCCTGAAAGATAATGCATAAGGTGTGGAGATTCACATAGTATACTGGCAAGGCTACTATACTATTAAGACTATCATGTAAGAAAGTGTACTCACAAGAATCATAATTATCATTTATCATATGGTACATTACATTAGAAGATCTGAAATGCAATTTATACTTCTAGGTTCGTATTTGATGATTCACATTTTATGTATTACACTAAATTGTATAATAACATGCTTCTCTTGACATACTTACTGTTACTGTACTGTTGCAAAACAATCTCGAAAAAGAGAACAATGCTTAAACATATGGAATGATCTAATGATTGTCACCCCAACAACAATTGAGAAAAACAATTTATATGTACACTGAATAAAACTATTTTGTATTCATTGTACACTATGAGTAAAAATAACATTATTTACCCAGCAGGTCCGGCAGTTTGTCTGTCCCCTCTAGGTGGTGTTGAAGTTGTTGTTGTTGTGACAGATCCTTCTCCGCAACCTCTTTCCCAGTCAAATGGATCAGATTCTCTGATATTTTTCCTCATCATTATTTCATTGAATAGATTCTGTATCATCTAAAAAAACATTTATATTCGTAAGGAACGTATATTGAAAGGAAGCTAAGTAAAGCTGTGAGTATTTTCCTTTGCGTCAGCGCTAATCATGGATATGAGAATTTCCGATATGGTTTCCAAAAGAATTGTATAAAATTTATATCTTGATGTGTTTGTAAGACTTTGTCATGAGAAATACTGATAGGATTAAGAATTAAAACCATGATTTATTACATCACACATATAATCATATGAAAAAAGAATACACAAATTTTGTTGCATTGGGCAACAGTTCCAAGAAATTGTCCAAAGCAAGGCCACGCATGCTCACCCAAAAATTAATAAAAAGATTGATTTCTGAGCAAAGCTGATTTGCTGATTGATGTGAGACTTATTGAAGCAGTTCATCTCAATATAATTAGAAAAAAAATTATGGGGTAACGAATTTGGAAAACAATTATGGGGTAACGAATTTGGAAAACAATTATGGGGTAACGAATTAGGAAAACAATTATGGGGTAACGAATTTGGAAAACAATTATGGGGTAACGAATTTGGAAAACAATTAAATGGGGTAAGGAATTAGGAAAACAATTATGGGGTAACGAATTTGGAAAACAATTATGGGGTAACGAATTTGGAAAAGAATTAAATGGGGTAAGGAATTAGGAAAACAGTTATGGGGTAACGAATTAGGAAAACAGTTATGGGGTGACGAATTTGAAAAACAATTATGGGGTAACGAATTTGGAAAAAAAATATTGGGGTAGCAAATTTGGAAAACAATTAAGGGGTAGCGAATTTGGAAAACAATCATGGGGTAGCGAATATGGAAAACAATCATGGGGTAACGAATTTGGAAAACAATTAAACGGGGTAAGGAATTAGGAAAACAATTATGGGGTAAGGAATTAGGAAAACAGTTATGGGGTAACGAATTTCACATAACTGAAGTTCTAGGAAAAAAACTTTGGGAAAAGAATATTTTGTTTGGTAGGTACTGTGAAATTGGGTGAGAAGTTCACGGCCAAAAACCTGAACCTCAAAACTTTCATTGGAGGGACAGGTGTCTTTAAGTTCAGAAGAACATACCGTAGTTCATTATAATATCTTTAGAATAAGCACAAAGGTTGCCAATGAGAAGCAATTTTCAGTTTTGCATAAAGTATAATTAGATACAAAGATTCATTGCCAAATCAATCATATCTGAACATCATTAACATTGAATTAGCAATGATCCATTACAAGTTCTTTGGTCTGTAGTTAAACGTAGATTGAAAATAAAGATGAAGCATGAGTGATTACATACTATGTTTTACGCACAAAATAATTAGCATAGACAAATCATCGGTGAATCTAATTAAATTTGAGTTGAGTATTACGTTAGAGTTGCACACACTGTGTTAAAAATAAATTGAATATTTTTATATTAAAACAATGAATCATCTTTAGCTGAACTTCAGTGATGATTTAATAATATAAAGCCAATGAAGATTTGCATGACTTTATTAAGGCATTTATCAGATTTATTAAAAAATAATAATTGTAATTCATAGAACATGGATTAAGAGCATTATCCTCATGTAGGTATCAGACAAAGGATTAAATTACAAGTCAAAAGGATATTAATTTAGAATCAATTTCAATTTGAAGTATTTTTATTAGGATCAAAATCACAATGATAGTTGTAGATCAGATACCATGACACTTTTTAAAGCGCTCCAGAAGTGTGTGTACAAGTGAGAAGGGAACTAATTTTGTTCGCCTACTTTACATCAAGTTGTGTAAAGGGACTACTGATTACTATGGGCAGGAGGTATATTCACTTGGCTAACACAGACAGTCCCTGAACTCGTAAGAGAACTAAAATGAAGAAAAATCAAATCAAATTATGCCCTAGCCCTAACCCTAACCTGGTACACACACCACGGGAGTACCCTTTTTAATAATGGCAATGCAGATAACCTAGTAGAAACAATATATATTGACAATTGACTTGTTATTGCTAGTGTTCTAGGTCACATTGAATGATGGTTTCAATAAACAAAAAAATTTGGTTTATTTAAGTCCATATATAAAATAAATATTCCTTTACATTTCAAGTTCAAACATACATTACGTTGAAATTGGTATTTGAAATATCTGAATCAAAAATATATGTTTTTCTCATTTTCCTAAAGCAGCATTTTCAAGCATAAAATTTGTACAGGTAATTTGGCAATGTAAGCAGACAAAAATATGTGAAAATGAAGGCTGGACTAGACTTTTATAATAAAAAAACAGCGACATAGTCATTTTTTTCCTAAATTCTCTGAATTGAACTAAAAAAACTTAAACATTTAAAGATATTTTGGAATATTCATTGTGGGAACGTTGAAGAAACAGTCATATTCCCACATTCAGTGGAATAAAAAAACACAAAGGTAATATCCGTAGCGTAATATTTCAAAATAAAGCAGATAAATCCGACATATTATTGACATGCTAGATCAGGGGTGTGCAACCTTTTTTATTGGCGAGCCAAATACAAGTAACTGGGTGAAGCCGCGGGCCACACCTTTATTTAATTTAGGCTTTCTGGTAGTTGCAAGCACAAAAATTGCCTATATTTGCTATTGATCTTACGGCATTATTAGGGGTTCGTGCAGAAATAGTAGATTTAAAACGCATAAACTTCTGAAGAAACTGCTAGGCTATTTAAATTTTTTGTCACACCGACTTCAAACGAATACAGTGAGAAACACGTTTTTGTAATATAAATCGTGTATTTTGCAACAGAATTTTGCTAGCTTGTTTTGCTAATATGACTGGTATGGGCTTTGCGACGAAAAACAATAAATACTCATTTTGCGGGTACACCATTCGAAATTGTTATTTCTCCGCCGGCCGCACAACTTCTTCTTGCCGGCCGCATTTGACCCGCGGGCCGCAGTTTGCACACCCCTGTGCTAGATTATTCGTTTTATCAGAATGCATTTGTGATACCAAATCAAATCGGCTATGGTTTTGAGCATCTCGACCCTATAACACTTCATATAGTAGGCTACACATAACCCCAAATTAAGATTTTTTTTTAACTGTTGAAAGTAACAGGTTATTTAGATTTTTCAATCTAAGTTCATTGTTAACACTAATCGTCTATTTCACGCCAGTAGCAATTCAAAAATTATGGTCAATTGCAACTGTTCAATACAAACAAATAACCTACAATCTCTGAAGACGCGGAGGGAACATAGTAAGTCAGAATTTATTGATTTTCCATTCTCTTCCCAAGAGAGAAAAGAAAACTGCCACATTGCAACTTAATAATATTGTGTATCCTGTAATCAATATTAATCGAGTCTACAGCCCACCATTTGCTAGCTTGTGGAAAGATATTGGAAAACTGAAGATTTTTGAACTTAATATAATGATAAAAGCATACAATATAATAACAATATCACTCTGGGTTGCTATATAGTAAAGAGAGTCTGAATAGAAATCAATTGTGTGTTGATTAAAATGACATTAATCAACCTTGTGTGAATAATATAATTTCGAACTCAAAAATGAAATTCCATACTGAGTGATTACTATGCTAAATCCCACAAGTCATTTTTCAATGTGAATGAGATAGAAAAAAAATGTTTGTCAAAGATTAGCCTACTACTTATGGCAGTGATAATTGTTGAATTTGAATGGATTTAATACAGGGTTTAGGTTTAAAGTCAACTACTATAAGTATTCCAAACTACTATTTTTTGTCTATTATTTCAGCTTAAATTACATCTATAAACAAAACATTTATTTAATCCCCATACTAACAGAATATCAAAAATATGAAGGCAGGACAGAAATAAAATATTCCTCATTATGACGTCAGTACTTAACATACCACAAACAATCTAATAGCGTTAATTTGGAAACAAGGGTTGTTGATCATATTGTTGATGAATACTTAAACACCCATGGATTCAATAATTAACCAAATCCAAAAATATTCGAATCCTGTTTTTAATAGAAATAAATGAAATTACCTGATAGTCTGGCTTCTTGTAGTAGTTGAGAGATAATAAATGATCATGAAGTTCTAAAAATTCATGTGGCATGTGTTTCAGAAGTAGTCGGTAGTCATATTTTTCCTTCATTGTCCCAACCTGAGTTCCAAAATTAACATTATATTGTAATTAATTATTAAACGTTCAACCATAAAATACTCCTTATTGATGTAAAAATAATTTTCATCAATTCAAGGCTGAATAAAATTATATAAAAATATACCAAATGTTCCTAAACACTCTTCCCCTTTATCATAATACCAAAACAGGTTTGATAAGACTCAATAATAACAAAGATAAAAACTATTCAATATATAATAAGAGGAATCAATTTGTCATCCCATGCTAATGTTCTAATTTATTTTCACAGGTTTAAATTTTTCATCTCAAAAGCAGTTGCCAAAAAAAATTCATTGATAAGAAAGCTGTCGAAGTCACGATCAGATTCTTCAAATTTCTCTCACACCTGTTCTTTATCTTTAATTTTTCTCCATGGAAGTTGTCCATTAACAAACTCAACCAGCATGTAAATTAATGACCACAAATCGTCATGACGACCCATTTCTCTGTTGCGGTGGGCATTCACCGAGGCATAACGCACTGTGCCACGAAATCCAGCAACTGGACGAGCCTGAAAAATTCGAATAGAACTGTTATATACAACTATTATAAGAATTCATATTATGCGAAACCAAGATCTGCTATCTCAACCAAACAAGGAAAAAAGAAAAAGGTCACTTAAAAACAATGAGTGTTACTTACCGGTCTAACATCCCCAGAAGCATTGGTATACTGTCTTGCTAAACCAAAATCGAGCATATAAACAACTCTGTTTGTTGCAGATGTTCTTCCCATTGCAAAGTTTGAAGGCTTCACATCTCTTTGAAAACAGAAATTACAATTTATTTTCACTGCAATCAGGAATGAAAAAATTAATTTAGTTAGACCTTCTCAGTTCTTGCAAATTTAGCATGCTTGTGCAAAATGTTATAAATAATAGACAGATTAAAATTATAAGATGACAAAAGTTGAGAAGAGTTATTATTCAGACCAAATCATATAGTTAACACACTGCCCAGTATCCCAATTTCCAGTAAAGCACTTCCTACTTTATAATCCTTTTGCAGCAATTCTTTAAACACCATTATATGTACTTAAATACAGAAAATTAACTTTTATTGTAGTGAAAGTAGCCAATTCTACAAGTAATTTATATTTAGTAGACTGTTGTAATATAGGTATATGGCTGTTTGTATTTCCTCAGGCTACACTAGACCAATATTCAATATTTGATTAGTGGGAATCAGTGAGAAAAAAAAGGAATTTATAGTTTCCCTCAGAATATCACCCCCCTTCATATTGTTTACTTTCCCAAATGCAAAGCAATCAGCTACAAGTTAAACTCTTAGTTCAACTTCCAATACCGGTAACACATAAGAATTTTGCTTCAACGAAAAGTAAAAATTCTTCACAATACAAATGGCGAGACGATAACTTATTATTATAAATTTGTAAGCACAAATATTTGCCTACAAATGCATGATTGCCACAAAGCTATTTGATATTGCAAAATACTTGATAAGCCCCGTTACCTGTGCAAAAAACCAACACTGTGAATATTTTCGATAGCAGCAAGAATTTGGCGTCCTAGTCTAATGGTTGTGCTTATCGTGAACATTCCCCTTGGTTGGCTTCTTCTTAATTCTGCCAAGTTACGACCCTATGAAAGAGTAAATTATAAAAATCAAACCTCACATACATTGACACACAACGTGCTGCATATAAGCTTGTTTTGAGCATATAAATAGTTGTAATGAAATGCATTGAATTCTGATATCCGCAAGCCATACTTCTCACTCAACATTGATTTTCACGAATTTTCTCGTTTCATGGATTGTATATTGCGACACAATCAAAATTAGTTTTGGATCGATCGGTATACGAGTGAGTAATGGTCGGCAATTAGTAAATCTCTGAAATAGGACATGCAAAATATTCTTACAATCATATTCTCGCAAAGGCAAGGTAGCAACAACCAACAATTTTTTCAACTTTTTTCAATTTATTCAACAGCGTTTTTCAATTAATGACACACAACTTTTAAACCTTTGGCACACTGTTCTGATTCCACCCCTATAATGACACCTCAACATTTGCATATAAACTTTTTTGGTTTTGTATTAGTTTAAAATTTCTTAAAATCATCCTAAATATTGGAATATTTCAATTAAGCCAATCACATAATCATGAACAATAGTAATAATACGGGAATTCTTACCACAAGAGACATAACAACATAATTGAATCTATCATTGCGACCACATGCAATAAATCTACAGATATGAGCTTTGCCTTGCAGACTTTTCAGAACAGCGACTTCCATCTTCAACACCTTTTGAGCAAAAAAATTGAAAAAATTATTAGCAATTTTCCTATTTCAAAAGAAACATCAATAACAGATTCTGATCACAACACCTGAAAAAGCTAGCGAAGATTTATTTTAAAAATTATATAAAATTTTTGAATTTTACCTGTTTGGTCTGTCTTGCAGACTCCGCTTTGACAGCGACAGCTTCACCATTAGATGTGTCGACTGCCTCATAAATTTCTCCTAGGAATACAAATATAAAAAATGCTTGTACAAGAATGTCAAATATCTCTATAATGATTCACCATATGGTTATGTCTTTCTTATGAAGCCTGAATACAAGTTAGCAGCTGTGATAGAAATTGTGGAAGCTGTATAAATATTTGCTATAGATGTTGAAGTACATATTGAAGTAAATAATTCATAGTTAATAATAAAATATGCAACATACCAAATCCCCCTCCACCAATCTTCCGCGTCTAAACAGAAAAGAAAATATTAATGCTGTTAATTCACTATGTTTAGAAAAAATCGAAAATAAAATAGATGGTATGTTTTTCATTGGAGGACAAGAGAAACTTATTTTGTAATAGTTGCAGAGTCTGTAGCAGTGGTTCCCAAAGTTGAGTGGCCGAGGGCCAAAAATAAAAGCAAAAGATTATTTGCGGGCTGGGATAGTGGAGCACCTGCAAGGGGCCGATTACGGTAAGTATATTTAAGCTATTTGAATTGTTACGAATATACACGTATGCTAAACTGCGATAATGACATAACAATTGGCGATTTCTAGAGTGCGGAAAGGTAAAAACATAAAGCCTCGAACAATTTTACTTAAAATTGGCAGGCCATATTGAATCGTTACGCAATTTGGGGATCACTGCCCATAGCATTATTATCTAGGGTTCAGATCCCATGCCCACCACCCCTCTCCCGTCCATGTAATAAATTGCATAGGAAATTCAGAACCAGAAAGATTCTTATTCTCTCAAACTATAGTAGCTCCCTACCTAGCAGTGGCTGCTTATGTTGAGCCTTGTTTAGAGTGAAAGGCAGTTAAATATGTTAAATATGTATGTATATAAAAAAAGTAGAATTTAAAAATAAAAAACTGGGAAAAATATTTTAACATCAACACCTCCATCTTAATTTATGCAATAAATAATATTACATTTCAAGCATTCTAACTTCTGATTTAAAATAAGTTATTAATATAACATAACAAGCTGTATAATTACAATTTTCCATTTTTCTTTGACAAATATTCCAGTCTCCAATAAAGACTCTTCTGAATTTGTTCTGGATGTTGGATTCCCATCTTGCACTTTTATATTCATGACTATATCCTCATAGTTTTATCTCCACTACTATGTTTAATCGTTTGCTTAAATGGTATCTTCCCATTTATCCGTAATCCAACGTAGATTGAATACAAAACTGAAGCATACTTCTATGTTACAAGATTTTTAGTTTACTATAGTGTTTACAAAAGAAAAAAATAAGTTAATGTTGCAAATTTGTCCTGTTTTAAATAACAGTAATAGGGTACTAGAATAATATACAGTGTTCATGTAATCATTAATTAAATTAGGTAAACAAAATTTGATGCGCTTCTTGTACAGTTGTAACTAATAGTGGCCAGTGGGTGGGCACATAAAGGTGTATTAAATAAAGTAAAAAAAAACTGGAATGAACTCTGAATAAATAAATAAAAACTAGTTAAGATATATTAAAAACTGACTTCATAACAAAATTGAAATTGTAATAGAACCCTTTGTTATGACAGTATTATTATGGTATAAAATCCAATGTGACGAATACTGTTTGATTTAATTTTTCACATCAATGTATTTTTGTCTAATTGTTAGATCCCGAAATATTGATACCTTTTCTTCAAAATAGAAAAAACAAGGCGTTTCCAGTAGCAATGAAATAGAAAAATCAAGAACCATTGCATTGCTTACGTGTGAATGCCAGCTTAGATCAGTAATTCCATGGTATTTATAGCGTCGCATACACATATCTGTAATAGTATGAAAATATAGTGGTAGATCATAACAAATCATTGGTTTAGGAATAGGAGGAGGTCCCAATATTCTGTAATTCCTATCCTGTTGGATTTTTGTAAACTTAATAATATTTATTTTATGTTGGATTTTAGAATGTATATGGAAAAGTCCAGTACCTATTACAGTATTCTGTTAAGATTTCACCTCCAAATGACAAGAAGCGAACTGTTTGATCTAAGTAAACTTTAATTAACAGATCACACCATGCAGACTGCGCCATTTTCCAGTACAGCAGTACTTATATAAATTACGAAAGCAGTAAAATTATAGGTATTTATATCTGGAGCCAAGATACCTTGACGTTATTCAAACTCAGAGAGTCCAACAATACCGAAATGGTAAGGGTACTAAGCATAACAAAACATCCTTATAACAATATAACTGCTGAACTGTATAAATTTCTTGGCTAACACATCCAACGTAAGCATCGGTGCACCAGATATAGTCTAATATTCTCAATCTACGCAATTACACAAGCCCACATACTTATTTTTTGCATGGAAAATGCAACAAGAATACACAAATTGGACAGAGAATAAGGAAAATACAAAGCTATTATATTGGAGTTTTTCTATTTGCCACCTATGCAGTACGGTATGTCTCAAACACCTCTATCTCATGAAAATGATGAACAAATTATAAAATTGCAATAGGCCTACTTTTCACAAGATACATATTAAGCATAACATTAAATTGCCGTTGCACAGAAACTTACATGACAACACAAACATCGTGATTGACCTATATCAAGTCCATGCTTCCAAAAACAAATAACCAACTAATCCCATACCTAACATGGAATGGTAACTAGACGAGAGGCCGTGGTCCGCCATATGGTTAAGCTGTCTTAAGGGCTTTCCCCTTCCCCGGATAAATTTGAAAATCCTATCCTATGTAGACTATTATATCATCCATGTATAGCCCACTTCACTTGACTTGTGAGCTTGTTTTTAGCAAATTTAAGATTTCTTTCATTTAGGTGATCAATTAGGAATTGCATTTCGAATCATTTGCTATAATACCGGTAATATTTGGATTATTTTCTATGCAACACCCTTGCCAAAAATTTATATTCCATTCGGTTCCATTACATTTGAACCCACGGACATTTGAACCCATGACAATTGCACCTGCATACTATTGCACATATGGAAATTTTTTTGTTTTACGGATAATTGAACCCATACTCACACTAACCCATGGCAGCATGGGTTTTAGCAACCGCATATAGATTGAACCCGCGGATATACGCATGGGTTCAAATGTACGTGGGTTCAAATGTACGGTCACCATTCCATTCACATTCTAAAAATAAATGACATTCCGGTACCGTACAGTTCCTGGTTCATCGAGGCCATACCTATACCGGTACCGGTACCCGGTACTGGAAAACCAACGTATGCTACATACCTCTCTCCATTGCTACATACCTTCTCCATTTTTAATTTAGGTTTGTTATGGAGTTTTCGAAATAAACTATCTATCTACCGTAGTCTATTCAGCAGCTATTACAGACAGACAGAAAACAAGCAGCTGCTCCCGGCTAAGCGGGTTTTTGACGCACCAAACCTAAACAGGCTTCGCACCAAACATCACAAATTTTTGCAATTTTGGAATTTAGGCAACTCAACACCGCCACTTGGCAACTCCTCGACATCGGTCCACCACTTACCAAAAACAGCACAAAATTAAGTTGTATGACAATGTTCATGCAATGCCTCTGGAAAAACATGAAAAATGATGCGGAACATGGCGAAGATAGATCTATTTTCACACACAATGTTAGCATTATCAAATGATATAGAATAAAACAATATTGAAAGATTGTATAGCAATTAGCAATACAGTGACCTATTCAAACATTGCTTTGGGTATGACTCATCGGTTCCCAAACTTTTTTTTGTTCATGCGGCGCCAAATTATCAGGAAAAAAAGTCACGGCGCACTTACACGGAAAAAATGCTTTTTTTCAATAAAACCTAATTTTGTGTTCGTAACACAACACTACGTAACAGAAAGTAAACGACATAGAAAGGTAAAATGAATTTATTGCCCGATATACACAGCATTCAAATGAGAAACAATGAAACATTTATAAAAAAAATACAATATGTAAAATATTCAATCATATATTAGTTATGTTTAACAGCGCGGCGCCCCCATTGAAAACCGAATATTTATTTATTTTTATACTGGCTCGGTTTTGTTATGATGATCAGTAACGTACTAGATCTCAGTATGGGACCAGTATAATAAATAATTTTACACATGTCCTCGAACCTCTATCATAATCCTGCTGTTAAGTGTCGAATCATAAAGCTAAATTATCTGCTAACATTCATATTGTAGCAACCAATTCTGCCAGTTTGATTATGACCTCCAACGGTTTATATCTGCCCACTCCACATAATTGTCTTTTGATGCCAACAACGCAAAAAACAGCTGCACAAGAGAAGTTTCATTGGAACTGCAATTTGCTGCAAAAACATTTTGCGGAAAGCGACGCTGATCGGGATCGCGATCTACAACTTGAAACAATCTGTTTATAATATTATGCTTCCTATGTACTGCTCATGTTCAGACAAGCGATTACACGATGAAAATATACGTTTTTGAGTAACACAACGGTCTGAAAAAATTTATAATTTCCTGATTTTTTTTATTACATTATTATTATATCTTTTTTTATATATTATTATATATATTATATCTTAAGGCCACTTTGTTGGAGCACCAACAATGATAATATATACTTTAATCATATCCGACAAGCAAGACCAAATTTCATTAATTACCTGACCTTGATTAGCCACTAAGGCAAATTATTGTTATGTGGATCACGAGATAAAATTCTGACGCAAATTAGGAAAAGTTGATAGCACATAAAAATTTTCAATCATTTTGTAGTCAACATCAGGTCAACATAAGAATGGAAGAAGAACAAAAATATTCCTAATTTCCAATTTTATAGGGCAAGAAAGAGAGAAAGAGAGTTTGTTATTTGCCAAACCATGAAACACACTGTTCTAACAGTGATAGCACATAAAAATTTTCAATCATTTTGTAGTCAACATCAGGTCAACATAAGAATGGAAGAAGAACAAAAATATTCCTAATTTCCAATTTTATAGGGCAAGAAAGAGAGAAAGAGAGTTTGTTATTTGCCAAACCATGAAACACACAATGCATGCATAAATATATAAATAATAAATAAACAGATGCTTTGGTGTATGACTGGGAGACAACGATACGACCTTTTGGGGTCATCAGAGTCTGTTGCCACCCGTACAATTATATTATTAGTAATAATATATTTCATCAGGTACTGTGTAAGGTAATTCAATACCTTTCGTTTATTTATCATATACACCAGAGCTGTGCAAAGTGCCGCCCGCGGCCCACAAGGGAAATTTGTGTGGTCCGCGGAAAAGTGCCAATTTTTGATGGTGTGTGGCCATCGAAATTGTGTAATTCAGTTTATAATCTGGTTCCCTGTGCGTTGCAAAGCTTGTATCCGAGCCCAATCCACTGTTTATGCCTATGGCGTTACAGGGTCCTATATCTCCTAATTGATATTATTAAAAAATACAAAAGTTAAATAAATTTTGGTTTCAGCCCATCAGTTGATTTTGTCTAAATCTAATTTAGAATAAGATTTGACAGCAAATTATTTGGAAATTAATCTTGGCGATTTTTACCGGAAACATCTCTCGAAGCCTCGAAATATGAATATCAAATTGTTAGCATTTCCATTAAAGCAAATTTGGCTAAGGTAGTCGGGAAAAAAACCCAGCAGCAAATTTCCCACTGAATTCGTTCAAATTTGGAGTGACAATAAATTTGAATAACAGTTTGAAAAATTTATGCGTCAACTTATCATTTTTGCAACGACCCATAATAATGCCATAAGATCAATAAAAAAAGACATTATTTTGTGCCTGTTACTTTAGAAAGCCTATGTTAAATGAAGGTGCGGCCCGCGGTTTTACCCAGGTATTGATATCAGGCCCGCCGGCGGGAAAGTTTGCACACTCCTGATTAAATACACTATTTACAAGACTTCCCTCTTTTTGAAAAATAAGAAATTTTGTGACAAAAAATACTGTTATATTTAGCTGAAAGATTGTTGTATATTGCATAGTATCTAACTGCATGAAATTTTTTTCGTACATTAACATATATTACATATATTTTCTAGTTTACTAATTGTAGTCGCCAATCTTGGAAATTCTGCCTGAAGTTAAACGAAACGACATTTTCAGGGCTATGCTCATGGGTATGCCACGCATATGGCGTTGATTCAAACTTGCAAAACATCACTGCTCGATCGGCGTCAAGAATACGCTTGCATACTTTTACACGAAAAAGTTTATTCATAAAACAAACGAGTCATTTAGCTCTACTGCGGCTACGACCAACACACAAAGCTGTCAGTCTGTCACCGTAACCCCATAGGCTACCTAATTTGCTATGATGATGCCGAGTTCTGAGGTGCCATAAATAAAACCTGCACCCAACTACACCCCCTGCGTGACCATGAACTAATATGTTTGTTCTACTTGTCTAAAGCCTTGCTTTGAGTGAAAACGTATAAGGCCTTATTGATGAAGTGTGGCAAAATACATAACCTATCGCTGGACATAAAATAATGAGTCTTTATGTGTGTGGTACCCAACTACACCCTCTGTGTAAAGTGAACGTAAATTAATATGCACTTTTCTTGCTTAGAGTGAAAAATAATAATAAGTCCTTATGTGTGTGGTACCCAACTACACCCTCTGCGTGGACGTAAATTAATATGTCCCTTTTTGCTTGTCTGAAGTCTTTCTACGAGTGAAAACGTATAGCACCTCATTGATGAAGTGTGGCACAATACATGACCTATTGCTTAAAAATAACAAGTTCTTAGGTGTGTTGTACCGAAGTAGTATATACCGGTATTTACGGTTGTACCAAACTAGATTAATTGCGTGAATGTAAATTAATTAATATATCCAGTGTCAACCCACGAAATTGTTCAGATGAGGATCCGTGAACGTTGCTTGGTGAAAATAGGTGTCTCGCTTTAGTTCCGTTTGTTAATTAGGAGATCAGCGAAACGATCCTACGAGAGGCATGTACTTGCACTCTTGTAGGCACTGTGACTGGTGTTCGTCGCTCTTTGGCAAGCTCTATTTCAGTATTTCGTGATAGTGACGAATTTTTGGATGACGCAGTCAGGAATCATAAATGCAAAAATTGTTACCCACGCCCACTAGAAGTTATTGTGGAACGAAACTAGACGAGACCCAAAAATTTTTTTCTACGCCCACTAGAAGTACGTTAGGTACGATACGAAACTACACGAGACCCAGAATTTCTGCAGAATGACACCTGACAGGAATTGTAGGTTAGCTTTTCAGATAGACAGGTCTTACAGTAGTCAGAATATGGTTTTATTCTTGATGAAATTATGGTACCAAATTCTGTAGTTGCTCAATTCACAAAAACATTACATTGATACGTTATAATTGAATAAACTTCTCACTCTGAGATAAAAAATAATTGACTGAATAAATTTATCTCTTACAGGTCCATTGATTAAATCCATTGAATACCGCATACTGGTATAGACAATGAAGAGAAATCAAATAGTATCAGATTTTGTCACTAATATCTCAAATGGAGTAACATATGCAAACCAACATTGCACAATGTATGTTGATGTGGGTGGACCTATCAACATGCTAGCGGCAAACAAAGACAGCTCTATGATAGCAGTTGCTGGACGAACTATTTTGAAAATATATTCAGTAGATGACACTTGTTTTAAGGAAAAAATAAACTTGAGAGTCGGAAGAAGACAAGGGCTCAATTTAAGCTGTGCTGATGTGGCATGGAATCATTTAAATGAAAGTTTAATCGCAACTGCTGCTACAAATGGAGCTATCATTGCATGGGACTTAAGTGCATCAGGCAGAAATAAACAACTCGAAATATTTACTGACCATAAAAGGACTGTTACAAAAGTATGTTTTCATAGTTCTGAGCCTGGGAGATTGCTTAGTGGTTCTCAAGATTGTACAATGAAAATGTTTGACATGAGAAAAAAGGAATGTATTGCCAGTTTCTCCAGTAAAACTGATGGTGTTCGATGTGTGCAATTTTCTCCTCATGAATATTTTCAATTTGCGGCATCGTTTGACAATGGTTCTGTTCAAGTTTGGGATTACAGGTGAATTACGCCTTAAGTTTGTTAAAAGTTGGAATTAATCAGTTTTGATCTTCTATGCTTTTGGTTCAAAAGTCTTCGTGTTGAATTGAATCATGAAATGTAAACACCATTGCAAGTTGAACACATTTTCAAGTCATGACCGAGAAATATAAGCTAGTTTCATATGACAAAAGTTTGATTATTATAATTTTCTATTTCAGAAACACAAGTTCCTGTTTGATGCAGTTCATAGCCCATAAAGGATCTGTTTATTCAATTGATTGGCATCCGGATGCCAAAGATAAACAAAGAATTGCAACAGGAGGCAGAGACAATAAAGTCAAAATTTGGGATATGATAGATCACAAAATGTCTGAGCATATGGTGATACCAACAAATTCTTTAGTTGCCATGGCTCGGTGGAGAACGCAACGACGAGAACAGATTGCAAGTGTAGCAATGATGCTGGACCATTCTATCAATGTATGGGATATGAGACGACCATACATGCCGTTTGCTCATTTTACAGAACACACTGATGTTACAACTGGTATAGCGTGGAAAAAAAATGATCCAGAAATTCTATTTTCATGTTCTAAAGATGGGACTCTATATCAACATTCCATTAGAGATGCACATCGCCCATCAGAACACTGTAACATTTCTGGTCTTTCTGTAAGCGCTAGAGGATATATAGGACATGCGTCCACTGATAGTACAAATTCATATGATGCCATACCTAGTACTAAGACTAAAGGAATGACGCGGTTTGGTTTTAGAACTGTTGTTGGGGTCGCTCCAAAACTGGATACAAACTCGTGGGTACAAAACACATTGTCTACTAGTAGTATGAATATTAAATTTGCTCGGTTTCTAAATGCTAAATCAGAGCTTGGGATACACAGTATCACTTCTATCAAAGAAGATGACTTTCCTACGTCCTCGGACGTACATCCTTCAAGTCTTATCAAGGCCGCCCAGCAATACAAGCTACAAGGAATGGCATTTAATAAACTATGTTTACACAATGCAAAAGTTTGTGATGATCTTCAAATGAGCATTGATGCAAACATATGGAGATATTTGGAAAGGTTTTTTGAAGGAGTTTCGACAAAAAAGACAGAACGAAGCAACTCTACTACATTTCATACAAACTCAGCAGAAATAAGCAGTCTTAAAACTGGGAGAGAGTCTATGAAAAATGGGATTGTTACTGGGGAAAGCAACGGAGAAGAATCCGAACAACACTCAGATCCAGAGACTGAGCATTACCTGACAGATATAGCAAAGGGCCATGCTACATCTGAACAAGAGTGTTATTACTCTGATGAGTACGATTTGAGTGAGGACTTTGGGAAAGGTCATCACGGTGGTATTTCTTCAGGACCAGAAGGATACATGGATCAGGATTGGTATCCTCTTAGCGATACAATCAGTGATGCAACACTTCCATCTGAAGCTTTTAAACAGAGACTTGTACTAACTGCCACTGATGGTTTTGAAAACCAGCTTGATCCAGCTATAAGTGGAGAAGAAGAGAAACTAATAACTGCCGTTCCTGTTATGATTCCATCTTCAACGTCACAGCAGAATCATAACCCTGAAAAATGGAGGAAGAAGAATAATAGTCGGAGTTCTGGCCCTTCAGCTGTTTCCCTGCATTCACAATCTTCATCTCCACATGAACAATTATCAGTATCTCCTGTGGTTTACACCAGACCCTATGAAAACCCTGCTTTGTCAATCAGTCGTAAAACTGAACTGCTTTCTTCAATGTACGAGTCTATGATAAGCAATGGCAACAACATTCAAATTATAACGTGTACAATGATTGTCCTGGGTCATTATTATCCCTCTATAAGTCTTCCTATTGACGATCATCTGCTGGAACATTGGCAAAATTCATATCTGGAATTGGTCAGTCGTTATGAACTATGGAACCATTTCACTGAGATTATTAATTTAAGCACACTTCCTTCCATAAAGAATATGAACACTTCATCCACCCTAAACACCTGTTGCGGAATTTGCCATAAACGAATGCCAACTGCAAACCCATGGAGTTGTTCAAAACATTCCGATAATGATCATAAACAGGCAGGCATGGGGGCTGGTATAAAATGTTCACTGTGCCAGTTAGTTGTCAAAAGTTTGTATACATGGTGCCAAGGATGTTGTCATGGTGGACATATAGATTGCATGAAAGATTGGTTTAATTATCCACATAGCAAAGGCAGATGTCCAACAGGATGTGGGCACATATGTGCTAGTTCTAGACATAGACAACCAGTCAAATAAAATTGGTATATATACGAACCTAATTATGTTTATGCAATTTTACACATTTTTTCATATCACTGTCAATTATGCTCAAAATGTAGTTGCTGGTCATGACCATATGTAATTACGGTAAATCACATCTTGGGCACTAAAGAAACAACTTCAATAGCCTCTGAATTTGACTCGTGCGTTTACTTACGCTCCCCGGGTAGATAGCAATGACAATGGCGCAGATTTGGTCGCTCCAGAAATGTATGTACCAATGTGGAGGTAACTACCGTAGTTTTGTTCTCCTAGTTTACATCAAGCTGTGCAAAGGGACTGAAACCCCATGGGCATGGTATGTATATGCACTCGGCTAATAGAACTAAAATCAGGATAGGCCCAACTCTCTTGTACACATACTGAGAGTAGCAAGATTTGTGGGTAGCACATTACATTCAAAACTGCATCCTGGGCCTGGCACAAGGTCGTTTGAACCAGACCACCAGTCCTGGTTGCGAAGAAGGTAGTTAATTAATTGAGAGTCTGAATCTAACACAGAGGTTGTGATACAAACTAGAGCAATTTAATCTCACTGTTTTATTTTTTTGTAGGCTAAACAAGAAATTGTCATGCAATTGAATCTATTATTAATATATATTTTCTTCACTTGTACTGGTGTGATGAGAGGCATTTGTGAACATTTATCAGCTTTATTCCAATACTCTAAAAAAGAAATAAGGAAAGTGAAGTTTTTGGTTAAATGCAGGCTGTCATATCTGTCATTACAGATTTTAAAATTCACCTTGCATTATCGAACACTTTAATACACAAGTCTTCAGGAAGATGAACCAAAATCATTCTCATATTGCAACCATTTTTCCAAGATGATACCAACAAATTGCATAAGTGTTTATGCCAAGTGTCACAAAAATATAACTATTACTATACCGAGGACGCTTTCAGGTAAAAGGTTTTCTCCAGTGTAAAAAACAGAGGCCTGTACGATATGCTGTTCATTCAAATGACAATCACTCAACCATGATCTGACACTATCTTGGATGTAGTTGATACAGTGTTTCAATTCCAGTGAAGTAACATGTCCTGAAGCAAGACCTGACAATGGATAATTACGCAGTAGTGATCAGTCAGTTATTTGAATGGACTCGTAAAACACTCTGGGTAATAGTGCTGGTCTTCATATGACTGCTTATCAGTTGCAGTTTTTAGTATGTACAAACTTTTAGTATAGGATATACATATTTATCTCGGGGAGAGGAAAGGCATTAGACGACACAATCATATGGCGAACCATGGCCTATCATCCGGTTACCAGTTTAAGTCGGGTATGGGATTAGTTAATCAGTTGCATGCACTTCATGGTGGCGAGGAGTCCAGCAATCCATGCATGGAAAACGAACCTGCGGACTCATGCAGGGCAATCAGAGGTGTGGTGGTGAGCGTATTCCTAACGCCTAGCACGATGTGCCACACTCCGACATTCACATTCATCTCCCCTTTTACAAATATCTGATAAACTTACTTATAGAAGATGTAAATGAGTAAACTTCTTTATTTTCCATTGCTGCCATATAATAATTCCAAGTTACAACAATGTTGCTATGTTTTGAATGCCCAGAATGACACCCAATTTCACATTCTTCTGTTAAAGATAATGCGATTCCTTGCCATTCAGCAGATGCTTCTTTTGGCAATTCGTTCACGACAAGATAGATAACTTCACAGATCTTATCACTGTTATCAGTTCCACAAGTCCATGCTTTTATGCCATGAGATATATCTTCAACATTTGTGAGGTAACATATACACGGCATGAAACTTTTTAAAGAAGTTCTGGACATTGCATTCATAACATTCTACGTAACAAAAGAAAACATTTTTAGATGCTGCAATCACAAGAGTGAAATGATGACAGAGAAGAGGGTTGATATATACATAGTCACTAAAACCAGAAACACTTCTTCATAGCCCTTAATCAGATCCTAGATAAAGATAAACTTGTTTGACATCAACAGCACTTTAGACCAGTAGTTCCAACCTTTAATTGTACATTCCTCATTTCCCTGGTATATTATTCGACACATAAATTAATTCATCTAAGTAGACAATTGAAGATTTGAATCACAGTAATATGTAACTTACCTCAACATGATGCAGAGCAAGTGAGGCTTGGGTTTCTGCTCCACCAGTTATCAATTGTAAGTTTCCTGGTATAAGTGCTATAGTTCCTGACACAAATAGTAAATCATCCACCAGAACACACTGACTGAAAGGTCCTAAAAAAGATTGATAAGAATTAACACTTGATTGCTTCACAAACCAAAATTTAGTGAGACATATTACCCTAAATTATGTTTTGATTCCAGTCTGCCTAAATGCTTATTTTAAGAGAATTTGCTCAAAGCAAGGTAATGCACATCCTCCCAGAAATGAAGGATATTGATCTCTGAGTGACTACTGAAGTGATAATACTATAATGAATGATAGCGTAAAATTATGTGATATGAATGCCAAATAACTGAAGTTTTTTACTTAATTAATCAAAATTCTCAAACCGTTGTTTTTCTATCCTGTGGGCACAAGAAGAACTATTATGATTTAATTTGAATAACGCCCAAAAGTTTTGATCAAATATGCTGTCTTATGGATCCTGTTGGCTATCAGTTACAGTTTGATCTGAAATTGTTAAAAAAACATACCGTACCTATATTTGCAGGTGCCCAATGAGATAATCCTTGAACATGCATACATTTCTTACTGGAATGATCTTTGCATGATATACAATAAATTTGAAGAATTGTCTTTTTATCTGTTCTGTTGGAATTACTGATGCAACCAATGCATGCTCTAGCAGGAGGATTTTGTTTGAAAAATTGAGTATAAACTTTGTTGATATGTTTATAATGTGACATTTCAGATACATTCACTTGAACATAGCAAATGTTATCTTGTTTATGTCCATGTTTTGACAAGATTCCTGGAAATTGAAAAATCAAGTTGAGGAATGGGGTGGTTGGAACAACAAACACTTTTTAAAATATATACGAATAACTGAATCAAATTTGCTTTCTTAGTGATATTTTATCTGTCGAACAGAGTTAAGTAAACATCAGTGATTTTTTTCGATTTCAAAGGAAACTCAGGCAGATATGAGGAAGGAGAGTTAACATTGCTTTTATTCTTTAGGCCTGCATGTTTACAAACTTAAAAAAAGCATAAAGTACACTATGTCTATAACGATCACAAAATTGAGTGTTACTTGGAGGCAGCAATTTATTTCGAGTGAGTGCGCCATGAGTTTTTCCCCGATAATTTGGCACCACACGAACTAAAAGTTTGGCAACTGCTATGCTAGGCCATCCCACAACGCACCCACAAATAAATTGATGTTGCCAAAAATAGAAAGAATATCATTAGTGCTCATGGTAAATACAAAAATTGTCAATATTTTAATGTTCGAGACCAATGGGAAAATAGAATCGACTTAGAAGACTCTTCATATTGTAATGTATAATTTAATCCTAATACACATTTACCTACTAATTTTTCAAGCAGTTGTAATGTCACTATTTCTACAATATCTGAAGTAACTTCATCTGAGGTTGTTCCTACTAGATTCGATACCGTTAGAAATTTCTCATGATTGGTCACCCCAGGCTCATTCTGTGGATCCACAGTGGCAGATTCTTCCCATGAAATCTATCACAGAAGAGAAAAATATCCAATGTGATTGTTGTTTCTAATCAGATGAAAATGTTTGCAATTAATTAACGCTCAAGTATATTTTATAAACAAGGCCAATCGATTCATGATGAACTTTGTTATAAATAAATGTACGCACGGCAGTGTAGCTCATCGTGCTAAGCATTAGGACACGCCCGCCACCGCACCTCTGCGTGGGTTTGCAGGTTCGGATCTCATGCAGGGATGGTTATATGCGGCTTCCTCCACCATCAAGTCCATGCTTCCGAAAACAAATAACTAATCCCATACCCGACATGGAATGGTAACCGGACGAGAGGCCGTGGTTCGCCATATGATTAAGTCGTATTATCGCCTTTCCTCTCCCCCGGGATAAATATGTGAGTCATATCCTATTTACCATTCTTTGAAAACTACACAACAATTTGGCAATCTTATTATAGCCTACCTTAATAATATGTATTAATTCCTAACTTAGCATCTTGAAAAATACAGTATTTCATAAGAATGCAGAATGGGGGGATTTTTTGCCGAAACTTAAGGAAGTTCATTGGCCATTACTCTGCGTGGGTTCGCAGGTTTGAATACCATGCTGGACTCCTCGCCGCCGTAGGGTGATTCACGTAACTGCTGGTCGGATACGGCTTTCTCAACCATCCAGTCCATATCTCCAAAAACAAATAACTTACTAATCCCATACCCGACATGGCATGGTAACCGGACAAGAGGCCGTGGTTCGCCAAATGGTGAAGCCAGGGTGGTCCAAGGTTATTGGCCTCGCGGGCCATACTATTTTTTTGTATCAGTCGCGGGCCACAATAGTGCCAAAAATAGGTAAACAGTACAAAACAAACACTTTTATTGTCCTAACACATTGATCATTATTTGTCATTTATAAAGCTAAAACATGCAAAAACCACCAAAAAACTCACTAGAACGTGTAAAAAATTTACTATATCTACATTTTAGTAACCTTCAGATATATCAAGCAAGCCATGTGGTATTTTTCCTCCCATATCCAGTCAAAAATATGTTTGAATTGGTCAGCTTTCTTTTCACACTCATTTGAGATATAGGGGGGTAATCACTAAATTTTCTGACATAAAGGCAGCATTTTTTGTAATACTGTTTAGGCTGGTTGCAAAAAAACACCCGGCAGGAATGATATTGTTCCGCCATAACATTAATATTTAGTTATTAAGCCTAGCCAAACATAGGCTAATAGATTCCTCATTCGATTTTTAGTTTTCTATGAGCCTATTTTGTTAGCATGTATTCCCGAACAAAAAAGATATAAAGCCAGTTAACAATTTACACTAGCCAAGCACATTATTCAACTTCGCTAGTTGTCTCAGCTGGCCATAACACTAGTCGTCAATTCAGCGAAATTAGTGATGTAACAATATGTCAATTGATTTTACTGGTTATTTTTATGACGAAACAACACCAATTGCGTTTTTTGTTCATCATTCCGCAAATGCAACGCGGGCCACAGATAATAAAGCGGCGGGCCACTTGTGGCCCGCGGGCCCAGGTTTGGACCACCCTGGGTTAAGTCATCTTACCGGCTTTTCTCTCCCCCAGGATAAACGTAAATCCTATCCATATTTCAGTGCCAGACAAACCAAAGTTATATTAATCAAAAAATATACCCGTAAAAATTCTCCATCATTGTTGATTCCTGAGTCAGGTTTGTCAGTGTTGAGCTCAGATACGTATTTTTCCTCCCACTTTTTTGAAGAAAGAAGATGCCATTTGTCGACATGTCGAATGTCACTTTCAGACTTTTGTTCCAAATGCATTTTCTTCAACTTCAAATAACCAACTGGTGCAAAATAGTCATCTGAGTGTATTATTATATCACTGCCATCACTGCAACAATATTAGTATGATATACTAAGGCATATATCTTCAGTGATACCTAGAAGCAGCATTTTGGTATAAGGCCATAAACCTCATAATTATCGAAATCAGATCAAAATCTATTAGGCAATGTAATAAATTGTTATCCAAACCTCACATTACAATTCTTTTCTTGAACAGAGGGCAGTCCAATGTAAATGTCTCAAATTCTCCTCCCTCTCCACACACATGACAACCATACTCTTTATTCTAGGATAAATGAGGACATACCACTCAAGTAATTTTGATTGCATTGGTTGTATCATAATAACATTGAAGTTTCAAAAACTAATATCACATTATGCATTACAGTGAGTGAAAATCAAAAATTTAAATTTACAACTTTTTTCGTTATTACATTCTTGTCAGAATATTTTCCAATTTTAATGTCTGTTAATTTAAGTTCATCCGCTAACATTAAGCAAGAATGTTACACTATCAGAGCAAAAATGTCTAGATGTAAGGTAAAACACTAATATTGTATACTTACCAACTTGTGTAATGTTTCTGAAACTTCATTTAGAGTTTTTCCCAAATGCTTTCTAGGATCAAGTCCAAGAGCTGCTGTTTTTATCAAAACAGCTTTCAATCCACTGGCAATCATTTCCTAAATAACAAACACCAATGTTAGACAAATGGAAAGAGATTCAAGTTTAGCAACACAAATTTTAAATGGGAATTTTAGATGTTGCTCGCATGTTTGCTGATACATTGTATGACTTTATGTCAACATGTCGTAAAATAACAAAGTGTGTGCAAGGGGTATATTCACTTGGCTACCACAGACAGTCCCCGAACTCGTAATAGAACTAAAATAAGGAAAATCATAATAAAATTATGGCCTAACCCTAATCTGGTACACATACTACGGCAGTACCTAAAATAATCCAGCTTCATGAAATGAAACTCTAAACAGTAGACAACCTTTTTTATTTTTGATACACAATGAATTTAGAGCCCCTGTCCAAACAAGGCTCTGCACAAGCAGTCATTGGTAATTGAGGAGCTACTACAGTTTAGAAGAACCGTAAGCTTTTCGGTTTGGCATTGCCTAATGCCTACCCAATTTATTACACTCTGTGTAAGGTGGTGGGGTGGACATGGGATTTGAATTCGATATTTGAACCTGTGGTGCTTTCTTGTTAAGTCTAATGCTACAATTAGGGCTGTCCAAGCGAACCAAATATTGAAATCGAATCGCAAATTATTGGAATCGTTTTTCGTCTAATTTTCGAATCGCTCATATTAGGTACATAAAGCGGAAAAGGCTTGAAACTACTTTTGCAGGACGTTTTTCGTCAGGCAAGCGGCGGCGCTTCAAGCTTAGACCACTCTGCTTCTGTCATAATTGATATTTCTTTCTCCTTCATTTTGAGATAAACATGTCATTCCTAATGCCCGGTGGCACGTGATAAGCCATTTCATGCATGGTCATCATAACTTAAAAGTTATAATCGGTCATGACGTTTTTGAGAGAGAACAAGGAGAAAAAGGCAACTTATTATCTTTAGAAAACAATAGTTATAATAAATAGAACCGATTTGAAGCTGATGAGTTAGTTATCATAGGAACATGGTACAGGCAACTCAAAGCTGAAACAGGTATTGTGGGATCCTTATGATGGAAATACTGTATTATCCATCTATTTACCAAGATAAAAAAATAATTGCACACTTGCATCATTTTGATGGCCATTGTATCAAATAATATAACCATCAAACTAGCTTTGAATTTGTTAAATGCAATTTTGAATTTGAGCAACAGTTTTATCTATAATAATGAATGTTATCATTTTGCTGGAAATTACACAAAAAAACCTAAGAATAATGATAATAGGATTAAAATAGCATCTACAGCCTTTACATGCCAAATTAAAACTTAATCCATTAGAATTGAAAGTGCAATTTTTACTCTTAACACTAAACAGTTTTCAAAACCCTAATTTTGGAGTCCTGCAATTTTTTTGACCAGTTCATACAAGCGTGTGATCTCCTTTCATAAATCTGAAAACATGGTATCGCAAAATACCAGCAGTAAGTAAGATGTAACTGCACATACCTTACACACCATTGCAGGGCAGTCGTTTATTGTATAATAGAGACAGATTTAGGATTGTGCAATAATATTCGGTTATTCGGTTTGATTCGGCGAAAATATTCGATTCGAATCAATAAATTATTCGATTTTGGACAGCCCTAGACAATTGAAATTAAAAACAGTCTGAAGATGCTATTTTACTAAAATAGTTATACAATCGATCATACAGATGCATTGGGATTGAAATCATGGTTGCTTAATTAAAAGACAAAAGTCATTTCAACACCTGCAGGAGTTCTTCTTGATTTCTTCTCCACAAATATGATAAACTTGTAACACCAAGTCTCGAACAAACAGATTCAACTCTGATCCTCTGATAATCAGATAAAATTGCTCCACTGGCGACTGCATCAAAATGTAGCGTTCTCTGCAATGCAAATTATAAATTAGCATCTTGGTTTATTTATGGACGCAAGGTAAACTTAGAATATGGGTTGAATGGAATATTTCACACTGTTAGATCCTCCAGACAAATGGGCAGGATGGCTTCGCAGTTGAAGTGTCAGATTCAACTATGATGGTATCGCAGGTTACACATCTCGAGTTCAAATCCCACGGCCACTACCTCACCCACCCACGGTTTAATAAATCCAATAGGCAATGTCTAAGCTTATGTATGACCAAAAAATTCCAGTCCTTCCAACATAATGTCTCTTTACCTATTGATCTAGATATCGGTGGTCCATTGTACAGAGCCTTGTTCAGAGAAAAAAGCTTGAGTTATCTGAGTTAATTTATGAGTGCTTTCAAATTTTTTTTACTACTTTTAATTTCCAGCATTGTTTGCCTTACTAAAGGATGGCCGAACAATAAATTAGGCTTCAATTTCCTAATGCATGTGAAATCTTCGTTTACCTGAATTTCCTTTAGTAATTCATACAGATCTTCGACTTCATCACTGTCATCAGGCACATAATTCAGATCAATTATTTTGGATGTGCCAGATATTTTTCTAAAAGAAAAAATAAACTGAACAGCTATAACTCATTTATATGAAAATAATAATGAATAATCAGTGTGTGTCTCATGATACTACTTTTTAGGAATTATTGATATATTTTATAGACCAGTCAATCTATAGACACTCTTTTCCTCATTAACTTACAATCAATATAAAGGATGTCTCACCTTCTAAATAAAGGAATTTCCATTGCTTCTGAATAAAGTTCGATTGCCTCATGACCGACAGTTTGATACATGTAGCTATCAAGTTCATCTTTAAAAGCAAAAATATGTGCAAGATTATAGTAACATTGAAAATGACATCTAAATATGAAGTGATGTTGGAATATGTTGGAACTGAATGTTAACATATTTATTCAAATATCCAAATTATTAAAGCTTCAACTACACACTTATGCATTGAAAAATTTTCGATGTAGAATCCAATATTACTATTTAACTTTTTCTATGTCTATAAGGTAAAAAATAATACGTATATCAGTATATAGTAGTATAATTCATTTATTAAAGGCTACATGTGCAATCAGTCAATTAAACACTTATTGTAGATGAGCAGGCAATTTACCTTTACTAGTATCACTTGGATAAAGGTTAGCCAAACCAACTATATCATGGCCTTCGAGATGAGCATGCATCATATTAAAACAACTGTCTTTTCCACCACTGAAAATAATATATTATGTAATAATAAGATGCATGTTGGCTAGTTTGTAACGGTAAAACCAGCTGCAATCTGTGAAACAGATTTAAAATTTCATGATGAGAGGGCGAAACAATAGGATAGTTTTACATATTTATCCTGGGGGAGAAAAAAGCTGACAGTAATACAGCTTTATCGTATGGCAAACCAGCTCTGGTCTAGTTATTTGTTTCAAACGCATGAAACACCTTAACTTAGTCATAATAAGTTATGGTATATTCAGATATTGTGGTCACTTGGGCTTTTTTAACGCCGAAAATACATTAAACTCACCTGATCAAAGCAATCACTCTCATTTTGAATCAGTAAATAGAACGAACGAGGTCTTTTTATTACTGTATTATCTGCTGTTGTATCAGCCTTTGCAGCTTTGTGAAGCGCTGGTTTTCCCGTCGCGAGAACGCACGCTGTCAATTCCTATGAAATCTATTATTTTGACTTTATCTGCCCACGTGAGTACCGATTGTACCCGCCAGTTCTTTCGCGCAATTCCTTCGATATAATAGCGTATTAAGCGGTTTGATCATAGCAAGTCATTGCACACCTGTTCACAAGTAAAGGGGTTTTCACATTCATTTGATTTTTAGGGAGAAAGACGAAACAAGCAAATAAGGCTGCGTGAGCACAAAAACACATATGAATCAGTTATTTCTCATTTAAAAATTTACCGAAAAGGTAAAGAAAATTAAATGAATACAGTATGTAAAGATATAGTGAACAGAAATATTACGATTGAACTTCAGTTTATGTGGTTGTGTATTTGAAACAAAGGCAATATAATTTATAGAAAACAGAAATTTCGACACTAACAGATGTCTGAAAAAACTGATGAATAATATTTTTAAATCATTTTAATATCTAATTTACTTTCTTCTGAATTAGGCTGCTTCCGAAATCCACATTCTTGAAAATCTACGAAAGCCGATATAGCTGTCTTCGCCCACTGCCAGTCAAGGTACTGTATATCAATATGAATTTAGCCATTGAGCCCACGTAGTGTAATCAATAGCATTGATACTCAGTAGCCTATGTTGTACAGGTGGAAAATCTTTTTATTTTTGTTGATTTTTGCCATTTTACGACTGGCGTTATTATCTTATTTAATCCACACTTTAATCACTCAGTATTACATCGACATGTAGGCCTACTATGAATATGTATAGTTGGTGTAAAATTAAAATAAATACCAAAATTTGACTCCTGAATGAGGCACAATAAATAAACTTTATTTGTTCAATGTAGGCTATCATGTTCAACTGTCGCTTCGGATTTGGATTGTTTCTAATACTAAAATAAAACTCCATTCACATCTATATAAAACAGGAGAAACTCTTTCATTGGTGTGACTCATCCCAAGGGTACTGATAAAAATTGATCAAAATTTAAATCCGCCTTACTTCCACCGTATTTTTCAAGAATAAGTGAAAATATCACTCATGTTTTACAATGCCGTTTTCAATTTGGTAAGCTTCAACAGCTGATTATGAATCGATGGTCAGTAATGAAGTTCAATAAAGTTTAATTGCTTAGCTAACAAAATTTGACATCTCAACGATTTCTAATTTAAGGCTTTACTTGACAGTCAATTTAAGTGACTTAAACAGAAGGTTAATTTATCGCTTCGTAAGCTATCTAGGAAAATAAATTTCACGACTTCTCATTAAACCCGTCAGCGAAAGTAGTATGTTTATACTTCACGCATTGCTGCAATCGTTGTCGCGCTGATGCATGATATATATCTTTAAGTATTGGCAATGGTTGATAATTAGAGCAATGATATATATGTTTTTGGAAATCGGACTGCCATAAAAAGTACAAAATTAAAAGGCACAAGCAGTCGAGTTGGGATTGCTTGCGGAATTGTTTCTTCTAGACAAGGTAAGGGAAACGATATTTCTACAATGAATGCTTTTAGTCAGCGAATTTTTTGACTTCAATAAACTGCTCTATATACATATACCAATATAGTTGATTAAATAAAACTGATATATATATTCGAAAAAATTCGAAAAAACGGCAAATATAGAACTATCATATATATATATTAAAACGTGTTATACTATTTACGCTGAGGGAATGGGAATTATTAAACCCAACAAATAATATAAACGACGGATGCAACAAAAAAATTCAAATAAAGTGAATTTTCATCCCGTATTTAACTACTGTACCTCGAAATCCCGACGTCTTATTATCATGTTCAGAAATCTTTGCCTTATGACGTATACTTGTTGTTTGATGATGTATGATTGGCAGGAAGCGTTTTTTCAGAATCTATGATAATATCGCACATGATCGTGGTGGTACTAACGATCAAAATACTTCGTGACCTCGAGCAGTACCATAAATATTTCACATCAGAATGAAAGCATTGTTTTTAAAAACAAAAGATTGATGACATAGCACACTGAAAATGGTGTACTTTTTATAAGATTGGTAACAGCAGTTAGTCACTTATCAGATTGTGAATAGTAGCCTAATAATTCAAATAACGAATATCATTTCAATAATTATCAGAGAGTTTTCTATTGCTAAAGAACACAAAATTTAATCTACTTTGTAGTTTTTTAAATATTTATCTTATAAATCGCTGCGTGAATATGTTTCCGTTTACAATTTTGTTATTGACTTTTTCTTCAACCTGGTTGTCAACATGCTGTATGAAGCTATCGGACGCTCAAAGTAAGCATGAATTTTTTATTAAAGTTAGTTATTTAAAGATTACGAATCATAATATATATATTTATATAACATATTTGGTTATTCTTTATTCGAAATTTCTTACTTTAACAAAGCTATGTTTGAATTATTAATAATCATACTTCTGAAAAGCCAGTTATCCGCAATAACAGTTACAGTTATTTTGATATGTCGATTGCACTTTGGATCAATTTTTTACATCGTTTTGGAGATCACTGAGAGTCTAGTTTGAACAGAGCGTGAGATAACATCCAATTGTATTTTGCCATCAATCATCCTTATATTCTCAATTATATTTGTTTAAATCGATGCAGAAAAATGCTACGTGAATTCAACCTACTACGAAGAAGGGGAAACGTTCGGCCACACATTCAAAGGATCGCCATGTAAATTTGAATGCACATGTGTAATTCGAAAAATTAAAAATCTCTGGATTCCTACAGGGGCATGTGTTCACAGGTACGTCAATGTGTATAACAGGGTATAGGCAGCGATTTTTTAATATTTCTCTCATCCCATAATTCATATTTCTGAACTGTATAAATGATCGAGTCCTATTATGAGGCATATTGTTTGCTCATAAATACGTAATAGCCATTTTGCTTATATCTGTTTTACTATTTACTTTTGCTACAGATGTCCTCCAATGAGTTATCCACCTGGATGCGAACCCGTTTCAGACGAATGTTGTGCAAGGTCTTATATATGTCCCGATGGAGAGAAGTGTCAAGATAAAGAGGTAAAGTTTTATTTTAAATCTGGTTTAATTGAAACAAGAAGCTTAGCCGTCTGAACGATAAACCATCTGAACAAGTGTAATGTACCCCTATTGGGGTGGACATTCGAATGACGATTGGGACCATCCCCGAGCATCAAATTCCTTGTTTATTTCTGTAATAATTACAAATCAGCAATAAGTTAACAATGACGTAACAATTGTATTTTATGCCGTCGCTCAGACTCTTCTTTCGCTCAGACGGATATTCAAGAGTGGTTGTAAACATTGCCTCTTTTCGGTAGTTTTCCGTTTTGTCCGTCAGTTTTTAGTTGTGTTTCTAAAAATAGTTGTGAATCGAATAACTTAATTGTCATTATGTCTTTTAAAAACTTTTAGTTCAGTTACAATAATCAAAAATTGATAACGCAAAAACTGCGAAAGACTCGCCTAAAATTAGCTATCAGTACCTATAACCGGTACGTGGTTTATTGTTTTCGATAAATACGATAGTTTTGAACATGTGTGCCAGTTTGTAAGCGCCAACTTTCCAAAACACTTCCAAATCAGCGTTGAAAATTTTGCAATGATAAAGTATTTATAGGGAAGATTTTTTCAGGGTTGTAGGGCCTGGAATATCCATTATACCCAATATTACATACTATTTTTCGATTTTCAATTGTAACAATGATTCGCAAGTCAAAAATGTTTAAATTTACAAACAATAGGATTTTAGACATTGTTTTCCGTATTTTTTAGACTTAGGAATTCTGAGGTTTACATTGTTTATCGCTATGATATTCTATTAAATGCGGCGGGCGAAGAAAAATTACATTTCGGTAGGCGTAGAATAAGAATACATATATATTTTTTCAGTTTTGTACCAGACTACTATGACGCATACGACGTTATACCAAAACAAAAGTATAAACGCCTTCGGGCCATCATTTTTGTTGGCTGAGGGCATGTTGTCTCAAATCGCCATTCAAAAATTGGAAAACACAAAAATTTGGTGTTTCCCATGTTTTGAACCCAATTTTGCAATATTTTATATATATTATATTTCAGTGCTATATCACACAAATTGTACCCCGAATTACTATTAATGGAACAGAAGACTAAACGATGCGCTAATTTATCAAGTTTTCGTGTCCCTGGTTGCGAGATATATCATTCGTAAATCCTTCCATTAGCTTTTATGCGTTAATTCAAATTATACCCAGCAATACTTTTTAGACTGGTATGATGTATGCCATTGGTGAAACCTGGGAACGAACAACAACGGATTCATCATGTGAGTGTACATGTTTTGGGGAAAGAGTTGGAAGACATCAATGCAAATGTAGTAAGTTACATGCGTATTAGTTATTACTTATCGATTTTATTACTTATCGATTTTAATCGGTAAGTATGTTGATAGGTATTTGTCTGTCTGTCTGTCTGTCTGTCTGTCTGTCTGTCTGTCTGTCTGTCTGTCTGTCTGTTAGATGCACGCGATATCTCACGAAAGCAAGATCGCATGTGCATTCATCATATATCGGACTAGAAGCCTATTGATTTTGAATGAATTATGTCGTATAATTAGCGATTTATTAATTAATTAGTGATGGGACACAAGGTGTCACTATGGAGTAAGAGCGCTGTTGTGGGGGATCCCCTAACTTTCAATCGATAAGTCTTCGGTCTCTGACTGATATTCTCGTTTTAAATTTGTGCAGATAATTTGATTGCGTATGAACTTGAAGTGTTTCTTTTGATACCACAAAGACTCCGCGAGTCCGCGTAACTAAACGCTTAAAGCAGGCGAATTGTTGCTGATAACCTATATATATCTATTTAACATCTTCCTATTGGAACGACAGGAATAAATACAGTTAGAAGTTATGCATGATAAACTATTATCAGCCGATAATTATTGTACCTCCTCGCCAACACAAACTCGGATGCACAGGAAAAAAAACATAAATGTCACACGGCAACACGAGTAACTTCCGACAAAATAACTAGATTGCATAATGGTGAAAATGCCTTGCTGACAAATATCGTTTATATTATATATACATATATGCTACATTTTTTTTTCAGTCAAAACTATTCCAATAAATTTTATGGAAGAGGAGTATAAAGTAGAACCAACTAAAATACCTTGCGAAGAAGATGATTCGCAATCTTGCTCGGCATGCCCTTTGGGTTAGTGATTTATTAATTTTTGCTAGAAGTAGGAACGCGAATTTCAAAATTTGTTATATTGGTTTGTTTTGTAGCTTTTGCAATGTTAATTTGTTGTCAAATTCTAGTACTTAAAGACAGGAAAAGGTCAGTTCAATTCCGTTGAGACCTGACTTTGCAACCCAAATGTTTTATTTCTGATTAATGGGCACGTTATCTTATGGCATTTGGTACAAATCTTTACGTCTACTTTGCGGTTGCTATTTTGGTCATTTGATTATCGTGTCCATAATACGGAAACATATATTATATATTATATTTTTTGCATTGCTCTCTTGTTTGTAATTTTAAAGGAATGACAACTTGTCCAATTCGCGGAAAATGTGAAAGATGGCCCTACATGTTTGAAGGAATTAGTATGGAATGCACTTGTTATGGACCAGAAGGAACTCGATGTGCTTCCAGAAGGGAAGAAGATAGACGTAGGGACAAAGAGGGCGAAGTTGAACAATTTGTAGAGGAAGGAAAAAATCGTAGAAAGAGGTATGAAAACTGTTGTAAAAGTTCGTTAATAAAGGTAACGTAAGAGATATCGTATTGAAATGTGAATTTCCACATAAATTAATCGTTTAGTTATTTGATAGCAACGTCTAACACTTTTATCATCACTTTTATTTTCGAATGGAATATTCGGAGCTTCTTATTTCATTACAATCTGATACAACCTTGTTAATATACATATATACTGTAGCGAATGTTGATTGTAACTATGGACGTCAATGTTATTTACCACTTTTTAATAGTATGTTGAATTCAATGAAATAGGGTATTCTAGCTATTTCCCTGATTAGGGTTTATCGCGACAGCTTCAAGCCTTAGATTACTTGTGCATATGTGCATAGCGTTCTTCTTATCGACTAATTTTGATGACGTGTGTTTCCGGTTTTCGTCCGAGTGTTGAAATACAGTTACAATCCACATTCGCTAGAATACCCGCACATTAAATTCCACACGCTATCGAATGTCAGTTAATATATTTAAATCGTTTTGTTTTCAGATCGCAGTCAGTGCCCAGTGTTATAGAATTGTATATATACGAAGACCAAAGTAAAACCGTCGAACCATCTTATACAAGAATAAACAAAGATGCAAGAACGTTTCCAGACGAGAACTAAGAATTGTAATAGAATAAAGAGTTTATAGCTTTGTGATCAAATGCGAATTTTGATAATACAAATGTTTTTCAAATTTTGTTTTATACGTGTTGTTGATACAAATATTTTCTTGTTTGCTTTTATAATAGTGTATGTTAAACTATCAGTGTTGAGTCCAAGTTTTTTACTTTGCAAAATATATCGTTTTTCTGGTAATTTTTGTTGTTTGCAAGTAAACTTTATGAAAGTATTATTACAAACTTTAATATTCTCATATTGCCAAAAAACGCTTTGTGGTCCACTGCCGTACATTCATCACGATGGGTAGGTAGTTCGGACGTTCGTCACAGATAGTTTTGTCTCTGTGTGGAAAAAAGATGACACTTCGCCAATGTTTCTGGCAATACAAGTCCAGTGCTCTTCAACCTTATTTTGTCGTGATGCACTCTATCTACTTAAAAGTCATGTTAAATCACCTTCAAAGAGACGAAAACCGCATATAACATAGGATAGGGACAGAAGTGCGGTAAGCGGTAGCAAGCGCAATCAAAGCACTTAGCACACCGGTTATCAACCAGTGGGCCATGGCCCACTGCAGGGGCACAGAAACATTTCCAGATGGGCCACAATTCTGTTGAATTTATTAATAAAATTTGGTGTATTAGAAATAAATGATTATGCTGTTTTTTCGCTACTAAATGATAATTTTCATTTCAGTTATTAAAGTGGAAGTGCCTATCTTTGCAAAAAGAATTTCTTGTTTTTTTCGTAGTTTTTCCCTTGCTTGTGAAAGTTAATGGGTCACAGAATATTTTTGTACCACGAGAGTGGGCCACGAAAAAACAAAGTTGAAAACCACTGGTTAGCACGATGTGCTACACTGTTGATCACATTGATTATATATTTTGCAGCTTCATAAAATATGTTTGATTTATTAGTTGACTAGTTGACCTTGAAAACATTCGAAAATCTCTTCCGTTGTTATCCGTAATCTATTTTTGTTTCCATCTGAGTTGTCAACAAACATTTTGTGTCGATCAAATGTATGACGAGTTTTTAATGACGCGATGCAACTTTCTCATGCTTATAGTTGCGTATTGTAGGCTTGTGGTTTTCAACTTGTTTGTCTCGCATGTACGAAACAGGGATAAATTGGAGAGGATTGTCTGGTCATAGACTAACATCGTGATGTCGCGTTTGGACCGAAAATATTGGCGAACAATTCAGCGCCCTATGTGGACGACACATAAGGCCACATTCCGTTAAACTTTTACATTTTGTAGATGTAACCAAAATTCAGTGTATGGTTTTTATTATATAGTGATTTCATACCGAAATCGGATAGATCAGACAAATTTTCGGTTTCCGACGTAGGAATGTAAGACATGAAATGTTAAACTTTCGGTTTCCGTCGTAGAAATGTGAGAGGTGAAATATATATAAAAAAAAATTGGCATTGAGTGCTTCTTACTTCTCAGAAGTGATAAGTTTTAAAAACTCAACAAGTGGAAAAAGTTTATCTTGAAAATTGTTACTGTGGTAATGGCGCATAAAGTGTAAATTTGTCAGTGCATCACTCTCACCTGTTGTCTAGTGCTTCACTAAGCGATTGAAAATTCAATCAAATTCAATGAAAGACAGTTTTACTAAAAACTACCAAATACTGACGACTCCTAATTTCGTTGACAATAACGTTACCTCAGTAGGTTCTGACTCACAGCAAATTTAGGGATGGAACAATATCGTAACAACACCATGAAACATCACTGTAAAATAATTTTTATTGGAGATGGTTTATGTGCAACAATTTTTTATCTATGAAATATTTTTGAAGTATTTTTAAAATTTACGAAGGTTTATGAAGAACAAAAACACAATATATTTGTAAAGCAGACACACTGAGCACAGTGAATAGCATCTGCCTTCTTGAGTTGACACTAAAAGATTTGCTTGGCGAACTTATCAACGATGTTGAACAGGTACAATTCAGATTATAAATAAAAAAGATTAGAAATGAAGATATTCATGGAGATACGCAAGCAGGAGGTTCACTACTCCATTGGCCATTATCTTGACAGGTTATTACTCCATTCCTGTCAAGTTGTAATCCCGGATTACACTTGAAAGTACAAGCAGTTCCTGGTATGTTTTCTCGTCTGTTACAAGCAACGTCTCCTCTAGGTGGTTTTCCAAGTGGAGGTTGGCAGATTATTTCTGAATTATAAATAAACAAATATTAATTAACAAGTATGTGAATTAGGATCAACGAGATGTTGAAAGTTTCAGCATCGCTGCGTGGTTACGTTAAAGTTAGATCTGACTTACTTTCGCATCTTCCAATACCGCCTTCCCATTCTCCAAATCCAAGGCAAGTTGTTCGAGTTGACCCAATAGCTCTCCACCCATTACTGCATGATAAGAAACAAGTTGTATCGTATCTGTTACCCTCAACGTTTCCTTGTCCGATCCCACATAGTATATTTCCGCCTTCTATTGGGCCGGCAATGTCATCACAATAGATTGCTGTAACGAAGGTTTCACTATTATTGAATGAACAGACAGACAATGCTGGTAGTTAGAAGGGTACTCCCGTAGTGTGTGTACCAGGTTAGGGTTAAGCCATAATTTTATTCCAATTCTGAACAAAATTAGTTACCTCCATATTGGTACACACACTTCTGGAGCGCCGTTTTATTTTTATTCATTTTTTTATTTTAATTTTATGTATCTGTTCTTGTTCTTAGGGCGCCGTCAGAAGTTATGAAACTTAGGTCAGACAATTCAAGGTCGCGCGCCCTCGTTGAGAAATAAAGTATATCTATCTTAAAGCAAAGGAATAGACAACGACTGGAAGGCCAATATTTGTTGGAACTACATATGCCGTTGGTGATGGTAGTTATGGTCCATTACGAGCCGATTGGCGCGAGACTCGCGATTTTATGAGTTGCCTCAGTTGGGTACATTTTAGAATGTCAGTTGACGTTGAAACGCAATCTGTAAGCGTAATTACGCATGTTTTCTTCTATTATTGCCTTTCTATTGTAGTCAGATGATTAGTTACTGGCATTTTGTTCAATACTAATATGGTGCAACCACAGTCACAAGGGCATGCAATATGAAAAATCTGCTGTGGGGAAAAATGACGTACGTGTGCAGGTCGGAGACGGATTTGTAAATTTCAAGGTTCCATCGTCTTTTATAACACATCGACTATTAATTTCTCCATCCATATTGTAACCCAAGTTGCAGAATGATTGACAAACGCTATCAATGTAATTCTCATTGGAACAAGTTGATATTCCATTCTCAGGCGGTTCAATGCGGGGGTCACAGGTCAATGCTAAATAAATGCATGTTATCATTAATAATATATTTAAATGTGATATATATATATAAACCTAATGCCTTCATTTTGTGATTAAATAAGCATCGCACGATCTTAATATAAATTTATATTAATTTATTTAGAAAAATTGAGCATAGCTTCTTAAATACTAATTGATCCATATATTTTAAAACTTAAAACTGAAAGTGTTATTTAATTGTGAAAATTTCTACTTACTCGCGCATTCCGGTTCTAAATTGTCCCAGGCTGAATCTTCTAGACATTTTCTAGTACTTTCTCCAATCAAAATATAACCGTAACCACATTGATAAGTACATACGCTACCGTAGAAGTTTCCATCGGTACATTCCACAGTTCCGTTCAACGGACTTAAACTTTCTGGCTGGCATTTTATTCCTGAAAAAACAAAATATATTTGCAAATGTATTCAGTATTACAATTCTAATTTCTGTAATATTTTGCTGTCGAAAAATGCTCTTACGTTGACAAGTTGGCAGAGAATTTGTCCAAGTTCCTACATCTCGGGAAGTCGGTTCTGCACATTGAGTTACTCCTTTGCCGACTAATGAATATCCTTCCTTGCAATCAAATGCACAGACGGTACCGAGGGAAAGTTGGGAGTTGGTGCATTTAATAGTGAGAAGGTCGGAAGTTGACTCCAGTTCTTTGCAGGTGATCACTAAGTCACAACAACAGTTTGAAATACATAGAATTTGAAAAAACTATTTTATATAACTCCATTTTTGCCTAATTACATGTTACGTTATAATGTAGATCGAAAATCGTTTTCAACGTTTGTGCAAAATTAAACATTTTTAAAAATATATCAAGTTAGATCGTGAGCCTCAAATGCAGATATAAATAGAGTTTAACTATAGTGTCAGTATGTTGTTTTATGAAAATAATCAACTTACTCTGACAAATAGGAACTGGGTCATTCCAAATTACATCAGACCCTGGGTTGGAATCTTCAGTTATGCATGTCTTTCTACCTTTTCCATTGAGATATCTATCAGCATCACATGAGAACGTACATACGCTTCCCAGCACTGAGTCATCGCTACAGACCACTTTTCCACCAACTGGATTTTTCGGTTCGGAACATCGACGTACTTTATGAAATATAGTAATATAAATTTGTTATTAATGCTGTGTGTAGTGGGTGTAAGATGATATTTATGACGTCATTAGTAATACTTTATTTATGTCGCTTGATGTCACTGTTAGGCTCTCTCTCTCTCTTGTTGTACTGCATGTTGCTTAGCGCTATGATTTATGATGTCTACGTTATATCCGGTGGGGTTCAAGTTATGGGTAAGTCAACGTTTCATTTAACAAGAGTTTCTCACCTTCACATTTTGGTTTAACGCTGCTCCATGTAGCTCGTAATTCAGTTCTTGGTTCGCCACATGAAACAGTTTCCTCTCCGCTCAACTTGTATCCCGGATTGCACTGGAATTGGCATAAACTTCCATATCCATTCTCATTACTGCAGGTAACTTTTCCAAACTTAATTTCATTAAATGACGGGCGACAACTGGATTCTGTTTAATGATAACACCCTTGAAATCGAATGCAGTAGCCTACAACACGAAAGCTAACGAATATAATAATTAACTTCACATAGTTAAAATACCTTTACAAGATGGGTTGTTTCCGCTCCATTCACCTTTCCCGTTATTATCGACGTCACGACAAACAGATTTAGAGTCGCCAACAAGATGATAACCTGTCTCACAAGAGAATGTGCATGCTGATCCAAACTTTTGCCTGTTGTCACAAGATACTGATCCGAATTCCGGTGGCATGAGTGGTCTGTCACAGTTTATTTCTTAACAAAATATGAGTTTGTTTATATATTCCATCTGTACTGTTCTTTAAACCAGGCAATATAATTGCTAATAGTAATACCTACCAAAACAGATTGGAGGATTTCTTGACCATTTTCCATCTTTTCTGCTGCCGTCTCCTTCGCATACAAGAAGATCAGAGTCTTTCAGCCAATAGCCCTCTTCACATTTAAACTCACACTCCGATCCGTGCAAATTTTCCTCCGAGCACGAAACACTTCCATGTACCGAAGGACTTAGTGGCCAAGAACATACGATTGCTAAAATTGAACAGAAGTTTAGTAGTACTTTTAAACATGATATACGGTAAAGGGGCGCGAGACTTGTTGCATAAATCAAATCATCAGCAATAAACAACTTGATCAACTTTTTTCATCTGGTATTTGTATAGAAAAGTTTGAGATGCGAATATTCAAGTATAGACTTAGTAGAGAGAACATTTGATTGGAACACCATAGTAGGCATTCCCTAGGCAACAGTGTAATTAAAATGTTGGTATGCCAATACTTACGTTCACAAGTGGGTACTGGATTTCTCCATTCGCCCACACCATCTCCGTTGTCATCAACACATGATGATGATGTAGATCCAGACAAAAAGAATCCGGTATCACACGAAAACTGACAATTTGTTCCAAAATCATTCTCCTTTGAGCAAATCATTCCACCATTACTTGGAACACCGAAAAACGGCTCACACTTAATTTCTAGAAAAAATTCCAGATGGTATAATTTTTTTTTTGAAAACGATAGAGATGAAAATGGCCATATTAAAAAAATAATTTAAAAAAAACAAACTTCATTGAAACTGGTTTCGGATGTATTTATTGGTTAGGTAACATTAACGTATGTGATATTAGGTAATATTAAAGTATATATGTGATCAAATATCTTTGTCAGACCCAAGATCTGGGCTTCAAAATTTTAAATCAACAAAACGTACTTTAACTGAAAATATAATATATTACAATAGAAATAAAGCGCCAGATTTTCTGCAGCATGAATAAAAATTATCTCACGTCTGCATGTTGGCAAACTTTGGCTCCATTCTCCAGCGCCGTCGTTGTTTTCATCCTGACAAGTAATTCTCGAAGTTCCTAAGAGGAAATATCCCCGATCGCAGGCGAACTCGGATGTCGTTGATAAAGCTGAACCACCGTTCCGGACAAATCGACCGTTGGTTGGTGGCTTCAAATTTGGCAGGCAAACGATCTCTAAGAAAAATAGCTATCGTGTTGAAATATATGCACAACTTTTTTTCAAATGTACAATTGCTTTATAATTAAAACGATGAATCAAAACATGATTTGACTTGGTTAATCTGTTGTACAAATGCCAATGCGACAACAAATGTTTGCAAGTGTTAGGGTTACCTATATAGCGACACCTAGGTACGGTCGCGGCGACTGATGACGCGTCACTCAATCAATCAAAGGTCGACGCGACCCTTATCTAGGTGTTCGTTCTAGTTCACGTACGTTTACATGTAGGTACTTTATTCGTCCATTCTCCTTTCCCATCTCCATTTTGATCAACGCAGATGGACGTTTCAGCCCCATTTCGAAAATATCCAAATTTACAAGTGAAGGTGATCACAGTTCCATACCGTGGTGTCGATGTTGTTGACTGAATTTCTTCTCCGTTGATAGGTGCAGTCACTTTTGGGCATTTGATAACTGGATGAAAAACAAGATAACATCAAGAACATTGTTCACACAAAAGATTTTTTTTCTGAAAACTGAAGTACTGACGAGGTATTTTGTTATGAAACGCCACATTATTTTTTTTTTCAAATTGCATATTTAAACGAGAAAAAAAAGATGTCTATAAAAACATGTGAATGCGAAATCTTAAACATATTCATTCCTCAGATCAGAAGTACACAAGTAAATCCAATAAATATACAATTGAAGTACAATGAAATCCAAGCGTTTGACCTAGGGTCTACTTTTTCTCCTGTGAGTCGATGAAGATCAATAAACTATACCCATTCAAACTCAGTAAACACGTACAAAGACAAAATGATTTATACAAACCTGCACATTTAGGCTCTTTTCCGCTCCATTTACCAAAACCAATCTTGGTAGGACCTTCACAAATTAAAGTAGGGTTGCCCACTAGAAAGTACCCCTCATTGCAATTAAATGTTGCCAGCGTTCCAACTTCGTTGTTTTGAGTCGTTGTATCTACTCTCCCGTTTAGCGGCTTTTTTAAAGCCGAGCATTGTATAACTAGATAAAATAAAAGACTTTATTAGCTGTAAATATCAAAGAACTGCCAATTTCCAATATTTAAACCAAATCTCTTTATTTTACGCCACGCGTATAGATTATGAATAATGAGAGAGCAATGCTTCATTACAGGGACACGACGTTGGTACAGGTAAACCACTTTTCAACACAGTTCGATTAGCGCTTTCTCTGTGGAATTGCTTGGTGAGAAAGCCAAGCCCGGAAAAGATTTGAATACAAGCAAAAGAGCAATGATCAAAGTAAAGGACACGAAGATCAAATGACTAAACGCAGTACAAAAATAGCCTATGCGACCTACACAGAAACCTGTTATCTGATCATTCAAATGCTCTCAATCAAAATTTCAAATCAACTCACATCACTGAATTACATCGGTCCTAGTGCCGAGTACCGAACTTTTTCAGAACTTTTGACAGTGTATATCGAAAACAACCTCAACTCGCCACGTTTATTTTAATCGCATGCTGTTTGCACATTTTTCTTAATTGTCAAACATGAAACCTATCAAATTTATTTTTATGAAATGACGTCACGGGCCAATTCATCATCATTTATTACGGTGCGTGTTTTGAAACCGAACTACGTAAAAACAAAATATATTGATCTTCATAAGACAACAGTAAAACCAGAGCTAATTAGTTTTCAAAATCATTGCATGACAACATAGATCGTTCTTTTCTCAATCAATTCAATCGATAGTTTTTCGACATAAACAAGTTGCCAAGTTTTTAAATTGCAATGGTATATATTATCTGAGAATCTATGCACTTACGTCTGCATGTTGGTTCTTTATTTGTCCATTCGCCGATTCCATCTAAATTTCTATCCGTGCATCGAATCCCTGGATTTCCAACCATGAAATATTTTTCGACACATTCAAATGTTGTTATTTCACCAAATATTCCCGGGCTTCGATTGACAATTCGTCCATTCTCTGGCTGTTTTAGGGGTCTATCGCACGTTATCACTAAAAGCAAGGGACATTCTAAATGATTTTCAAAAGCAAACGGTAAAATACGAATGGGTTATTTTCCTATATATATATACAATCAATAATTTTTTTCTTGGGCTCATACATTTACATGTCATTTAGCAGCTGAAAAAATTCACCATTGTATTCTTCAAATGTTTACTCACAATGACAGGTTGGACGTTCAACGCTCCATCGAGAAGTTCCAAGACAAGTTGTTAGAGAAAGTCCTCGGAGATAATATCCGTAGTCGCATTTAAATCTACACGTCGATGCTCCAAAATTAATGTTAGTGCATACAACGCTCCCATTATCGGGTGCTGTCATGATTGGTGCACACTGCGTACCTTAATTGATAAAAAAAGTAATGTCATTTTTGGCATCTAACTGATTGTGCTTATGAGTTTCTAAGAAATTTGAAATTTGATTGAACTTGTCATTCATCAAATGTATATATAGTTTTAAATAAGTTGGTTAAGCGTCAGGCAACAAGAACTGATTTCGAAATTGAAAGATTAGGCTACTACGAAGAAACTAGAATATGCATACATATTTAGTTATTTCATAATTGGTAGCAGATATGACATGATACGGTGCACTAAATCCATCATGTCAACACTAACACACGAAGTGAGCAGAAATGAGCAAACTTTGATTAAAAACTTTAAGGTAATCATTAGACAACATATATATGCAATCTAGTACATCTACCGGACGACGTGTAAAGTTTGGTCGAAGAAGCCCAATGTCACCAGATGACTCGGCTGTTACTTTAATTTCCCAATCAATAATCAAAATACGCGAAGTAAAACCCCGAAGACAACCAAAACTTACGTATGCATTCGGGTACGGGTGATGTCCATCCTGTTTCTCCTGTACATCGAGTTGCTTTACTTCCTTGAATGCTAAATCCGAAATCACAAGAAAACGTACACAGGGATCCAACCATATACTGATCTGTACATTTTATACGACCATCTTTTGGAACTCGTATAGGATCACACCCCTCTGCAAAAATAGTTTATCAATAGGTCATTGCATAATCACGAATATATCCAGTGGTGGGATTCAAATTTTTTGTCAGCCGGTTCCTTCACAAAAGTCATATTTTTCAGCCGGTTGCGTTACAAACAGAACATTGACAGTAACCATTGATGCCAACCGGTTCGCTGAACTCATAAAATTCCGCGAGACGGTTCTATAGAACCGGTGCGAACAAAGTTAAGTCAAGGTCATTATGGACGAAATGGAAGACAACAGAAAAAAAAGCTGTTTGATCTAATCAGTCTTTCATGCACTAAACCATATATTCCTTTTGTAACTTTTTTGACCCTAAAATTCTTACTTGCTAGACAAGGCAGTTCTTCAGCGTTGCATCCGTTTCCTTCGCAGCAACATCTACACACACTGCTTCCCTTTCCCTTTCCGGGTTTACATTGAGCCTCGAGCCACATCGCTTTAGAATTTTGAAGAAAATTATTCATGCACGCTCTCGTCTGTTTACATCGTTTAGTAATTGTTTTCTTTCCATTGACAACTCGTACCTCGTTTTGGCAAGAACCCTGTTTTACAATAACGCTTGAAAGTTTAGAAAACATATATAAAAATATCCACTTTATATCAAATGTTTTCTAAAAATATCCTTTCGTTTGTCACTTCTTACCGCATTTGGTGGACATAAAACTGTTCCTCGGGCATTACATCGTTGATTTGAAGATTCTCCATGGCACACGTGACATCTTATTTGCTTTTTGGCGGCGGTTCGCTGTTGAATATCCACTGAAACAAAAACATAAGTTTTACTATCAAGGCTGTCTTTCTTTTCATCAAGAGAATTTTCCTGCTTCTATTTTTTAGGATGCCTATACTTGAAATAAGTACATTACATACTTGGCACATAGGAACATATGTATTTTCTCCTTGCGCCACAAGCGCCAGATTTCCATTCTCCATTGCCAGGAAATTCGATATACCCACATCTCGGATCCCCAAGTTGTTGTGGAATAGGAGAAGTATGATCTTCCCAAAAAGGATTTGGAATATTGGTTTCATCTAAGTTGGCGTAGCCTGCGCCATCACCTCTGTCAATAATACCTGAAAATTACAAAAATACACATAGGTTTATACAGAGGGTTACAATAACTCAAGCGACAATTCAAGTATTAGGAAAGTTAATTTAAATTGAACCAAGTTGAAGAAGATATATTGAACGCTCAATTTTGAGACGTCATATTAATTGACTTAATAACTTAATTATTATCTGTATTGATCTTTTTGTTCTATTATTGAATATTTGTAACTGTGAAAAATCCCACAGTGAGCGATTGGCTAAGAAATACCCTTTTATTTTTTTTTGCTGTCATTATTATGCACTCCAAACTTTTCGACGCGAGCGTGTTAATTCGTCAATGGTGATTAACCATTCGTCATACACGCTTGTACTGCGTCAGTGTATAAATTAACTTTGACTCCGTTTGAAAATCATAGTATTATTTTATAACGCTAATACACAACATATATAATTTTTCATTTGAAAATTGCAATAAGCCGGAAGTAAAGTTAATTTACATTCCTAAAAATAAGTTTTTCTATTAAATATTATTTCCTGATCAATAGTTATTCAAATCATTCACTAAGATAGTTGTTGATAAGGGCGAAATGTATATCTTATGTACAAGGTGGCAATGCTTCCAATGACTATGAAACCATCATCACAGAATTACGCAGAATTTCTGAGGTAATTTTTGCGTTAACTAATTAATATTGAAATGATAATATAATGATAAATTTACTTGAAAAAATTCCGAACAATCGTCGACTAAAATTTCAAGATAGATCATATTAATTTATGCACATGCTACTTTCAAAAAAATTATTGCACGCAGCTGTAATAATCGCCCATTTTTGTTACAGTAATGAAAGCTGGGTATCAGATTCAAAATCAATAGCTAAAATTTCTTAACAATTTTCGACGAAAGAGTCGTTTTTATTTGCCATCTTCAAGAATGATAATATAAAATCATTGTTTTGCTGATTGCTTGAGACTATGCCTGGTTAATTTTTTTCATATCGTTGAAAGTTTTTGTTATGATAAGCAATTCGATAATTTCCAAATGATATGACCAACTAATTACAAACGGTTGCCCGCCACAAACCAAGGCAGATTTGTGAACGAAGTTGAGTTGTAACTAAATTGAATCTACAAATTACGTAGAACTTCTGATAATATCGCTTATTCTCAACAGTTCATCCAAGTTTAAAGCTGTATAAGCTATTTCGAGTCACAGAAAATGCACACTCCAAACGCTCTTCTATGAATGGCCCATAATTGGCTGTGTTGAAATAGAATTATACTTCTGCTTCAACTATTTTATGATTACAAAACGTGAATATAAACATAAGTGAATGAATTGAAGAAGCGTGACATCATGAATATCGATAATAATAATAATCTATGCATCACGTTTGAGAAACAAAATCAAATACTGCGAAAAAAAACATAAAATCCAGTTGTTTTATATGAGTGATAGTGATCAAACCACTTGGAATTCGATGGAAAATATTGCAAAAATAGCAAAAAAAAAACAAGTTACAGGCTAATTGAGTCGCTTTATAACAATTTGTCATCAATAAAGTATTTTTGAAGTAAATTTTTTACGAAAAGAGTGTCACGCTCAAAGTAAACTGTCAATGTATGTTTACGTTCCGAGTCAAGCTGGACAAAATTTGCTTGCGATAAAATCTTAATAAGTATAAATTGCGACCTTTGATGAACTGGTATATATGCGTCATTATGTTCAAACTTCAAGCTTAACATTCAACTTTTGATGATATTCAAAGGTGCCTTCGAAATGAAAATCATACGTATTTTCACGCTTACGCTTGTTAGACATTTAAAAGATGTGAAATGGTTCAAAAAGAAATTCATGGAAACAAATCGGCATCAAGCATATTGATAAGTCTCATGAAATTTCATCCACTCACTGTCCACTACTAGGGAAATATAGTTTGTATATAAACCATAATTACTTGGCAACGAAATTCGGAGAAATAAGCCAGCATAGGTATGGCTTTTTCCTCATCTTTTCTTAAATTTACATTTATTGCTTCTGAAATAAATAATTGCTATTTTAGACTATCATAATTCAAGATTGTAGCTTGTTAATGAATTTTGTATTCACAAATTTCGATGCTCAAATCAGAAGTCAATTCATTATTTATTTTAACATTAGGTTGCATGTCATTACAGTAAAATATAAGTAATTTTGTGGAATTTTAATAATCTATGTCACAATAGTGACAATTCTTCGAATTTACTGATAAAAGGGCAACAGGATTCCAGGACAACAAAAAATTTCATTCACTTAGAATTGATTCAACTTTTAACCTCTCTATTGTCTTTATTTATACAATATTTTAAAAGTCAAAATTTCCGAACTTAAATTAAATAAATTTGACATGCACGGAATGACGCAATGCGAAGGTGCCAAAACTTTGTGGATTATTTACTTTGACAAACCTTTTCCCAAAGTTTACCATTAAGTTTACAAATAGCGCTGGTATTGCATGAAAATAATAGTAAAAAAACAAACAATGCTTTCAGATTAGATAGCGCGGGAACAGGGAAATTGCCGTTTCAAGACGAGACTCATGATGACGGGTATTGTAATGGTCTAAAAGTGGTTTAGTCATAAATAAGCGTTTTTTCTCGGATAAGTTCGTTTTACTTAACGCTTGTCGATCTACCGGTTTTTAATACAATAAAGTTGACAGTAAACGGCATCGGTTGGACAAAATTGAACGACGAATTTAAATGAAATTTTTCTATATTTCGTTGCTATTGAAAAACCAATTTAGAGAAAAAGACCGTTGGTCTTGAAAATGTTTTTGACCGATATGTAAATCAAATAACTTATTTGAAATGCCATGTTCCACATTTGTAATATATATGACTTTAATGGATGTAAGAATGTTATCCGATATCACAATATAAATTCAATCAGCTTTGCGGAATAGTATATTGATATGACACAGATATTTTGGTTCCAAGTTTTGTAATTGATGACCTTTTAATGTCACTTACGTTGGTGCTATTTTTGTCCCAGCGACATTACGTGAAATGCAAGGGGACGAATCGAAACAAGGCTTAATTATCGCGTTAATGATATTTAAATAGGATGTGTTGAACTTAGCAGTCAATTGGAGAATATAACCAGTAAAACTACCTGGACCAGTGCTGGTTAGTCGCGAGATATGCATTTGCGTTTTCAACATATATACCTAAAAGCACAATTTATCTATGGCAATGCCGGTGAATGAAAATAATATTTCCTAGTACTATGGGCACAAAACAAACATGAAATAGTATTTATAAAAGAATATCTCACAATTAAACTACCTATAAATGCTGATCCTGTCACTTGTTGCGAACGGCTCATAATTTGTCGGAGGTTATCAACATCGACTGCAGATTTCATAGTCATAAGGGAGCCCTTGTCTCGTGTACAGGCACGATTTGCTGCTGTCCAAAATACGGGATTTGAGCTGATTTTATAGCACAATCTATCGTGAAGTCTGTAATAAGTTGGTGGACATCTTGATGCTGTAAAAATTTTGAAAAGAAAGAGGGGATTTATTTATTGGATCTCAGATATCGCATATAAAAATACGATCAGTGTGCATTTAAGCTGGTTTAAGAGCCGTTTTAAACCTATGTATGCCCGTATCACAGAACCGAAATTCTAAAATTTTTGCATAAGATTTAGCAACATATGCACTTTTTTGCCGATGCTTTTTAAAATTGAAATTTCACTAAAGCACACAATTTTTAGCCGCTAACTCAAAATGTTAACGAAATTTTGGCAACAATTTCTGACCAATTTCAATATAGGTATACTTTTTCATTTTATGGATGCATTGCTCACCATCGTCACTTTTTAGACAGCAAAGCGTATGGCATATATATACATATAAAATTGACCAACTGTCAATTTTTGTCTTAATGTGGCCTTAATCAACCTTTATTGGAATTGTTTACAAATACGCAAATGAGAGATGTATGGAGAAAAGATGAAAATTCAAAGTGCTGTGTGTACGAGCTTTATAGTCACCTAAATTTTTCATAACTTCGATAATTTTTTCGTGAAACAGACGCCCGAAATTGTTACATAAGATGTACATTTGAAAATCACATCAAAATTCACTCAGTAAAGTGGTAAGCTGAAGATTATGTTGAATAATTCACCATTCAGACACAAACTTCGAAGGCGCAAAAATTTATGACGACATATAATTCTTTACCTGTTTCTAAATGGCGTGTGTATCAACTCAATTACAAATATAATAATTATCTTTGAATAGTGAGTTGCATGTAACATATACATATTCTTAGTTCTCAGGAGGTCTAGTTACACAGTTGCGAAACTTGATAAAGTCGTGAATATTTGAAAATTGTTGATCAAGTTTAGAAGATTCCAATTACAGACGTATAAGGATTTTGAAGCTTACCGTGAAATGGTTGGTTAATGAGTTGGACTATATGTCGAAATATATGTTAAAATTAAAACGTTCTGATAACTCATTTACTTAATAGAAGAATCTAATAATGAATCTCTTCAGACGCGACGAATCGTTGTTTTAATGTTAATTGGAACGTTTAATATCATTCGGAAACCTTTACCAATGTACATTACCAATACGTACATGCCTTTAATAGCTAGTTTTGATTAAAAAGTAGTAGTATATTCCAGCCTTCCATATGTATGAACAATTCCCACTTTTATATTCTTTTTATCAAATATCACAAAGGCCATTAAAATAATTAAATTAAAAAGTTCAGTGCTAGTTCATGAAATAATATATGCTTATAATAAATAAAATTGACTGAAATATGTTTTTATTTGGACATAGCAGCACATTGGGTATATTTCGATATCGTCTATAAAACTATATTTCTTACCTCTATAATTAACTGAAGAAATTGATACAATACCATATGTTACGACGACGAAACAGTGAAGAATCTAAAAAGGTTTTATAATAATTAAAAATATAAACTTTCGTAATAGTTTCAGTCTTATTGTCCTTTCAATATTATTTACGAGCATATCCGGTTTTCAACTCAATGATGTAAAACATAATAATAATTTCACTTGTACTTTGAATAAGTCAATCAAGTGTTCCCGATTGAAGTAAATACTTGGAAGTAAAAAATATTTTTATAGACAGAATATTACCAATCATTTATATAAAATTATACACACTGGTGTATTTTATTGAAAATTTTGTGATCGATACACCGCCATGGTTGCCCGTTGGTCTAACGGCATGTAGGGGGGTGTTCAGGAGCGTTGCCAGATCATATATCACAAATTATCAATGAACGAATGTAAAACATTTACAATTTAAAAAAATACCATAAAGGATAGTAGTTTGGAATATTAATTGTAGACGTAATTACTAAAATTCACTCATATTGTGAAAATGTGTTATCTTTTTTCTAGAATAACCTATGACCCCTAGTGAAGAACCATTAATTTATTATCAGATTATAGTAATTTGACATTTCGGATAAATGTGAAAATATTCATGTCATAATTCTATGAATGAACGTTGCGACGTATTATATTAAGATTAATGTGAGAAAAAGTATTGATTTCATTGAATGATTGATAACCTCTTTATTAACATTAAATTTTTCAAAGTAATTTAAACTGATCAAATAAAACAATAAAAAATTCGAAAAAAAAGCTATTTTTAATATACGATTTTCAGATTCAAACGGAAGTGCACTTTGGGGTATACTTTTGACTAGACGATTTTATTACTGAATAATTTTTTCATATAAATTCAAATTCCTAATATTGACCAATATACCAATCTTGTAAAAACATCATTCCCACTTCTGGATGTTTTTTCAGTATATGCCCAAGTGTATAGTTGCCCGAAAAATCTTGATTTCTGTATGGTAGCAAATATAGGACCATAATATCCATCACTATTCTTAATTGTTTATTACCGTTGCCGAAACCCCCTAAATCTCTCAGAAGAGTCATTTGACCCTTAATTTTTAACACGAAGTCAATATTTTTATGACAATGTTTAATAAATAAAACAACATGGAGTAAGAATGAAAACAAAAATCAAACTTACTTTTCTAAGCCCCATTTTTGAGAAAATTGTTCGACCATCAGTCATAATATAAACAAAGATTCCATCTCAGGCACTATTGCATTGTCAAATATTTATAACCCGAGACTGAAATAAAATTGGCGACTACCGTAAAAAAATTGCTACTATCTGCAGAACGAATTTAAAGTTTCAGTAAGGATGAGAATGTGATGACTATACATTATTATAGTATCAAAATGGATTCAGCTGAAGCGATGCAATGCAAGACAGAAGATTGATTTTTTACCGTGTTTAGAGAGATAAATGATTAAATATTAATAATTCAATTATAAGATTACAATTGTTGTGCGGACATGAATAAAACGTAGTTTTAAATTTAGTAAAACTATTAACGGAACAGGCTAATATCTAATAATATCTATGAATAAAAAATTAAAAAATTGGATTTTTTTTTTATTTTGCTTATTTTTGATTGATGGTTGGTGAATCCCAGTTTATAGTAAATTCAATACCAAATATTACAAAGTGAAGAAAATAACCTGAACGCATACTATAAAAAAAAAGTACTTCGGTGATAGATAATATCTTTTGTTCTCTATTATTTTTTAGACAACTTTAAAGTATTTTGAAAGAACCACTACTTATAGTATTGCTTCAAATACAGCAAATTACTGATTGCGGTATACTACGAAATTCGTGAATGGTCGAGATTAATTGTCTCTGTGATATTAAAACACACACAATATTAAAAGTGCCATCCCTCTGGTAATTAAACTCAAATATGACGCTATATTAATGAAATAGCAACCACAATTTTGTCCGTCTTACTGATCTGGCAATAAGATTTCTCATCTTTGACAGTTACTTCAAACTGAAGCTGGCCTAATAACGCTAAAACAGGACCGGACATGAAGTTCTGAATCTTGCTTATACTTACCTGACTATAATCGCAATAACAATTCCAGAAATATTAGTTAAATTTTAAAATGAGATTTGACATATCATAAAATATTTATTTTGGTCTAGCCTTTATATAAGATAGCTTGCATTTCCTTCTTTACTCACTGTTTCAACTCTGAGCTGAAGAATGAGAACAAACGTTCTTCGTTGCTGTTCTGGCTGTATATGTAAATATAACACCACGATTTTAATTGAAAACGGAAACATATCACGACTCCTTTCATGCGATTCGATTGATTTTCTCATCGAAGATTGTTTACAACAAAAATAGTTCGTGAAGAAAAGGCTGCTTAATTGCGCCCACTAGAGGTGTTGTTTCAATCGATAGAGAAATAAACGACTGAAAGAAAAAACAACAACTGAAAATGAAGAAACAAAAATTCAAAATATTTTTTGCTGAGAGTTTGAAGTGCAAAATATCATTCTAAGGTGCAATTGCAAGAAGATTTTTCGCAAAATTCAACTTTTGTAAAAATACTTTGTGACTGGCAAAAGTCCATTCTCGCAAAACTTCATTCTAGCCAAAGTGGGTTCTCGTAAAATTACATTTGCTCAAACACTCGAGCGGATGTTTGCTTTCGCTAAAGATCTTTTTGCCAATTAAATGCTCGCGTTGTTAAATATGTTTCAATCATCATTGTCACGATTCTCGTTCAAAATATCTAGGACTTCCTCTTTATGTTTATGACAAATAAGTTGTTGTTGAATTAAATTTAGCCTTTCAAAATACAAAAAATGACAAGATTTCAATTAAACATAATAATCTGTTTTTAATTGGTACGGTGAAGAAAAATATATTCTCGCTTCACAAACTGATAATATCAATTTGTCACTACAAGAAGATCCAGGGGACGGTCGCTACGCTACCCAAGAGGGGAAATGTATAGTAATATTTTTAGTAAATTAGGAAGAAGATGTTTGTTTGAAGTTTGTTGGAGGGCTCGGGTCGTTGCGCCGGACGAATGGCAGAAATTCGTCCGGCGCTCTGCCCCCGACCCGTCTAGTCCATTGAGAAGTTCAAATTAGAGATGTACCGATACCACTTTTGTCGCCGATACCGATCCGATTCCGGCTGAAAACGCCGATACTACAAAAAGGCCGATATTACCGATATTCCGATACTATGTAATTATTACTTAATCAGGTGTGCTGTGTAGGCAGACGGGTTAATTAAAACAATGGTCTTTGAGCGTTGTTCATAGTACACAATATTTCAGATCGAAAAAAAGATATATCACATAATATGAAATTAATGTTTGCTATCCTGATTAATTTACATTGTACAGTAACGCTAGTAATCTCGGTGTTCAATTAGAAAACTCATAAGCCGGGATGTCCAATTTGAATTTAATGTTAATATCGCGACCTTCGAATATCGTTATTTGTGTTTAAAAGAATATCGAATATCACATACACATTCTAGCGCCGCCGTCCTACGTTCAAATTAAAAGCATTTTACAAATATTTTATTTCGTGGCTAATCGTAATCGTCGATGCAATAAGTCAAAGCCAACATGAAAGAATATCAATCAGCACCGACAAAAAGAAGGCCTACATATAACCGTCGAGGTTGTTTTTTTACTTTACTATTTTATATTATTTTACAATTGCTATAATATATTTTGAGACAGTCTAGGACTAGGCGGTCATGTCAATATATCTATAGAGAAATTGTGTAGTTAAACAAAATTAAAATTAATACCTGAGTAGAGGGATAATTGTGTCGGAATTTAGTTTATCGATGTCGACGGATTAATAGACACTCGTACTTGACGACAAACAGTCAGAATTTATATCCGTGCCAAAAGTCCATGTGCCGTTAATAAGGACCCCAATTCCACTATATGATTTAAAACTGGGCGCCTAGTTGCTTTTTGTTATGTGCTGTGTTGATATATTTCTTCATAATTACTATGTAATATTAAAAATGTCTATATAAAAATTTGACAGCGAAAATAGCCAAATTAGTTGAGCTAGTTTGGATGATAAATAGCTAAAAACACGTGAATCCTATTCTCTCGCGGGGGTGGGGACATGTATGGCTCATAGCTCACGATCTCTCCAGACAAAATATAAATTAAAAAGTAGTATTCCAACTTATCTTCAAAACATTCTGAACCATATAAAAAAGGCAAATATATCGGAAATATCGGCCTTAATCTAACCGATACCGATACATGGCCGATACCAAAAAAATTGCCGATATTGCCGATACCGATATCCGATACATCGGTACATCTCTAGTTCAAATACCACGTAATAAACTGATCACTCTTAACCAGAGTCGAAATTTTCAAATTTTAAGGTCCGTGATCACTCAACCGTGACGAATTTTTTTTGACATAAACTAGACCTCAACTACTACAAGGTAGTTGAGGTCTACCCAACCCAAATATGGCATCTCTACCTTTTACCATTCTCGAGATATAACGTAAAATCACTGGAGCGTGACTGAGGAGCTGGAGAAAAAAAATTTCTCTAGAAATGGACTCAAAGAAATTTTCTGAACATACCCATGCCTTTACTTTCTTAATAAGTCCTTTCAGAGGCCTGCAATGAGCCAAAATCACTCAAGCGTTACTGGGGAGTGAGAGAAAAAAATTTTCTTTAAAAAAATGTTAAACTAATTTTCCCACCATACCTATCTATTTTATTTTCCAATAGCCTCATTTTTAAGTACGCAACCTTCTTACGCCACTGGAGGGCGATTGGGAGAGGGAAAATCCCAAATGTCCGGTGGTGGAACATTCTATTAATTATTCCCTTCCAGATTTAGGCATCACTTTGCCCAAAAACCCGTTCCAAGTGCTCAAAATAGCTCGAAAACGATATTACCTTAGTGGGCGTGGCTTTCCACACGTTTTCTCACCACACTATGGCACTGGCACTGCCCCCACCCCCAATTAAACTTGGAAAAATTGCCAATGCTCGGGCAAACGTTTTTTGGCCCCGGAAACAGACCATCAAGGTGTAACGTTGCGTATAAAAGCTTGATTGGGGTATATTGGGGTCGTTGTCGTAAATGAGAGCAAGTTATTTCAATAAAAAAAGCATGTTTTTACCCAACAAGCCATGAATTCAAAGCAAAGAATCCGCTCACAACGAGAAAACATTTGACCTCGGTCAGAGGTAAATATGAACATGCGTGGAAGAAAAATAACAAGTCGAAAACCATACCAAAACATAATAAATATGTCAAAATATCCTTGTTGATTTTGCATTAATTCCAGATGCAAATACTTCCGCAGTGATTATGATGATGAATTGGAAAAAACATGTTTAATGTGGTTTGCTGCATACGTTTGTTTAATGGTAAGTTGACGTCTTTTTCGTTGCTGACCTCTTTAACAACAAAAAACAAACTGATTCACTTTTCATTTTCAAAACCACACAATGATTATTAATTCGCGGAAACTGCTTTTATTGATGCTTAGTAACTTATCTATCGAAAGCTTCGGTAGAAAAAAAGTGCAAACAAGTTAATGATTGGAATACGCCTAAAAAATCTTTGCCAACGTCAAAAGTCGCAATGTGTGATTTTTGTTTCCTTATCTTTCGCAATTAAACAACGACAAGATAACATTAACGATTGGTTTGATTTTTTGTATATATATTGACTATCACTTGTTATCGACACTCTGCTGTGTAATCGTAGTGTTTTACGATGGTGGTCACATATGAAGAAGTTTACCTCAATTAGTTGCATCTGTTAGTATGCAAAGCAAATTACGTAAAATTAAATATTTTTCGGTGTAGGATCTGGAAAAACAACGATTTTTAATATAAACGACTAAATATCAATGGTTTCAACATTGAGGCATGTTGACGATTATTTTTTTTATTTTGTCAACAAAATATTCAGTCGGATGAAGAGTGAATATATATGTTATATGGTGACCGTACATTTGAACCCATGTACATTTGAACCCATGCGTATATCCACGGGTTCAATCTATATGCGGGTGCTAAAACCCATGGGTTAGGGTTAGTATGGGTTCAACTATCCGAAAAACAAAAAAAATTCCATAGGTGCAAAAGCATACAGGTGCAATTGTCATGGGTTCAAATGTGCGTGGGTTCAAATGTAATGGAACCATATTATATACACGAAATCTGTAACGCTACAGCCAAATTAGGCCTGTAATGTATGTAATTAGACCTGATTACATGTCCGCTGGAACCGGTCTAGCAGACCACATA